TGCGTCCGATTCTTAGAAAACATTATAAAAAGTTGTGAAATTTCTTTTGCTTGGAAGCTCCGATTAGATCTTTTATCGGCAAGATGCCGAATCTAGTAGATGATTCACACACGTTATTTCAACTAAAACCGACGTAGTATCGATTTTGAATTCCGACATGGATACGCTCAAGGCTCAAGATGTACTTTCGCTTTTATAACCCAGAATTCTGCAACTGTGTCCTGATTTAACTGTAACAATTATACCTTGGGCCTAAGAATAATCTATTCGTTGTTCTGCCGTTGGTTTAAAAGCAAGCTTCGTCTTGAGTTCTGATAAGTCGGGCCCATCCTCAAGACCTGTCACTGTCAGTGGAACTTTCAAACGCTCATTAGCATCACGTGACATGACCTCGTACGTGTGAGTAGCACGTGTGTCGGGGACCGTCGGCTGTCGGGGTCAGCAAAGTTCATTCACACCAGTCGCATTGGCCGAAGTGTTTTCGAGACTTAACCAGTGTGGACGACTTGGGGGAGGGGATGGGGGTATTGTTTTGACACTTGGGCTTTAAGTGCAGGCCGTTGTACATGTAGAATCTACTAATTGAGGATAAAGGAATAAGAAAAAAGAAATAAATGAACAACCTGGGCGCGATCTTTTTTTTCGGGGAGGGGGGTGCCTTGAGGGTATATGCGGTGGAAGTCAAACGTAGTTACTGTATGAAAACGCGGGCTTTTTGCAATGGTGATTAGAGTTATGTGTCAGCTTTTTTCAAGACTACGAGAGTTTCAGCTTTACTGCAACCTGCGCTCCCCCAGTGTATTCCACTCCGACTAGAGCAATGCTGTCTTTCAGTTTTCCCTCTATTTAGTGGCCCAAACGTGAACTTTTTCCTGCGAAAGTTATCTCTTGCATACTTGCCTCTTAAAAGGCAACCAGGAGACCCCCCCCCCCCTTTTCCCCTGTACCCCTTATGACTGATTTACCGTTGATCCCGATTTTTTTCAACAGATCCTGATTTTTTTAAACTCTAAAATCCTGATTTTTAGATTTCATAGAGTGGCAGGTCTGCCGTTCTATGACTCCTCATTGGCCTGCCAACGTATGGAAAATGGTCTTCGACTACCCGAGCCCCATCGCTTCGCCTCTTTCTGTGTACCCTCCTTCCCCTCACTCCAAGATGATTTTTATTGATTAGAAGGTAATTTAGGGGCATGGAATGGCTCGTTTCTCTTTTGCTGACTTGCTCCAGCAAAGAGAGATGTGTGTGTGTGAGAGAGAGAGAGAGAGAATTGTTACGCTCAAGCTGTTGTGTTACATTATGGTCAGACAAGTGCACTTTGCGGAAACGTTTCGTCGAATCCATACGGTAATAATACTTTTGAGGTCAGTCGGGTTTTCCTTCATGGGAGGGCAAAAGCTACCATTTTGGCAAATGGTTTGAAGTTGACCAGTCGGTAACAACTTAGTTTTCAGCTGCGGGTGAGGGAGGCATGTGAACCGCTATAAATCAGCCTTGCCCACTACTACTGACCATACACAAATCATGCACGAGACTAGCAGTCGCTCTGTTGACCCAGTTGGTAACAATAGACACCGATAGCGTTAACTATGTCGCTTGTTCATGGATGGGGGGTGACCCATTTGTCTGTTTTACCATGGCACTCCGTCTTCCTCGTCGAACACATTATTTATTTTTTTGTTTTTAATAACACATCCGGTACTCCAAAATGAGACATGTTTTCAATGCTCTCAACCTAGGCTATCTTATTTAGAAATCTCAACCCATTTGGTTCTGTCGGTCATATCGGGGACGGACGTTAAAATCGGAGGTCTGGCCTCTTTAATAACTTATTAGTGTTCAAAGGAGCGTTAAACCCATACACTTACACTTTTTGGACTTGGGATCATGAAAGGTTGAGACCGCCTGTTTGAGATGACGTTGTCAAAGGACATGTCGTGTAATTATTTATTGGTAACTGGTTGGCTGGCTTTCTGTTTTGGTCAGCTCCGAAGTAGATGATGCATTGCATACACCGTAGTTCAAAATATGAAGCCATCTCGCCCGTAGGGTTTGTGACGGTGAGATTGGCTCGAGAATCGGTTGTGAACTGCTGGTAATCTTGCTTTTATTCTAAGTCTCGTATACAGTGGAGCTCGCGTGAACCGGACTCTACGGGATTGCTGGATTTTCTTCGGTTTAGCAGGATTTTTGGAAGTAACTCAAAGAGGTTGCTCATACAGAAGAAAAACAATCGCGGATTCTACTTTGTTTTCACCGCTGTTTTCGGATCAAAAGTGTTTTGTGGATACACTTCTGTATTTTCATTTGAAATTTCAACCTTGAATATTTTGCAATCTTGCCCCCATGCAAGACCCATACTCCTTTGTTTATAGTTCTGAATTCTTTTCTTTTATAGAATGGACTTTGGATGGTTAGAATTTGTACAGACACACAGCAGTCTATAATATAACTTGTGCTAAAGCATGTGGTTTTGGGACGAATTACGTCCACGTAGAAGCGATTTTTAAAAAAAAATTGATTTCCTCTTTCTGTCCACCAAAACTCAAAACGTCACACTTTGCAATGCTAAAAAGCGGAATAATTGGGAGGATAAATGGGAATAAAAAACAACCGATAACTTTTGAACTGATCTGGGGGGAAAATCCCAGAGATCGTTGTAGAAAGCCGCTATCGCTGAGATTGTTTTCAGCAAAATCATGTATAGATCTATATTTCAATTTTGACTGAGCTGTTTGGTTGAATGGTGTTTTTAAAAGGTTTGACTTCTTTTCATTTTCTGTATTGCTGCTCTTTCTGCGGAGAAAATGGTCGTTAATGTGTATGTTAAAGAAAGACAAAATGTATGTTCCACCACTTCCATCAAATATCGATGACATGAAAGATCGAATAACAGCTAGGTCCTACAATCACCATGGTGGATCGAGACATCTTGAGGCGCGTTTGGGGGGAATTCTCAAATCGGCTTGATGTTGTTGTGCTGCCAGTGGTAGCCACATTTAGCACTTTTAAAACATGAAATAAAATCAAGAAGATATATACGACACATGTGTCCAAACAAGAGTTTTCTATTATTTCTCGTTTTTGAAATATCGCATATTCTTTTTGAATCAACCTGTCTATTGAGTTCAAAAAGTGAATGTAGTCCAGATTTAGTGCTTCGCAGTCGTTTGGATTCTCTTAGAAATGTAATACATGCATGTACAACTAAAAACAATGTTTGTTTTTTCTGCAACGTGTCTCTGGAAGCCTTGTCAATCCCTCAAAACATTAGTGTGGGGGAATAATGGACCTCCTCCTACTGAGTGAAGTGTAGGCTGTTGTGGGAGGTGGGAGGTGGGGATGTGGAGGACTTGTCAGTTTTTTGTCAGCATTGGTATTGATGGATAATACCTCATGTAGAGCGTTACAAACATCAAATTTTAAGGAGGGAGAAAGGGATGGTAGCTCAGCTTCTCCCTGTTAGTTCAACATGTTTGGAAGTGATTGCCTTGTCTTTTTGTGTCATTCATGTTGGCAAAGGATAAGGGACAAAGATCAGATCCATAAACTTTATTGATCCACGAGGGAAATTTTGGGTGGACATAACCAGGATATATATATATATAATATCATTGCAAAAATTCAGCATCAGCATAGAAATTGACTCATTACTTTGATGTTCAATGATGCACATATCCCCCCCCCCCCCCTCTCTCTCTCTATCTCTCTCTCTCTCTCTCTCTCTCTCTCTTTTTCACACACACAAAACGTACCCGCGCACGCACAGACCAACACGTGCGGGCGCACCACACACACTTACGAGCCCCTATCTCTCTCTCTGTCCTTTCTTTACACATCAGACACACACAGACCAGAACATAATCATAAAAAAATAAGATAATTCTATACCCTATTGATAATAATATTTTTTACACGAAGCTGTTTCACTTAAATACTTTCTTATTGAACTTTATAGCATGTGTCAGCGTTAGGCTGAACTTTTTGTCCCTGTGTGTGTGCTTGCGTGTAGTGTGTGTGTGTGTGTGTGTGTGTGTGTGTGTGTGTGTGTGTGTGTGTGTGTGTGTGTGTGTGTGTGTGTGTTGGAGGGGGGGGGGGGGGAGGCAGTGGTCCGTATTTCTTATAGTCCTTCCACTTGATACCGATGCTCTTTCTTGTTACACAGTGCCTCCTTTCCTCGTCATATGAACATTTTGCAGCGTGACTCGTACACGTATAGATATCTATTTTTATGCCATGTGTATGTTATTGATTTCAACAGTGTAACGAAACATTGAGAGCTCATTTTACTTTTAGGTTCCTGCTAAGACAGGGTAAGACATGCTTTCTAAGAGTGGTCCTTCGTTTATATTGGCTTTCCGTTGTCTGCCCCTGTGGCTTTTGAGGATGAGATATCATTGACTGGCCCAGAACTGTGATGTCTGGTGAGGGTGATATTCTCTGGTGTAGGGATCAATATCTTGAACTTCCTGCGGATGGGGCTGGGAGGCATCCCGACTAACGGAGCGGAGGTGTGAAGGTCATTAGTACGGTGCCCAGACATCGCCTGTAATTAAATGAACGTAATGGTGATCCTCCCCCCTCCAAGCACCTTTGTTCTCTCCTCCTCGTCTCTCTCTTTCTCTCTCTCTCTCTCTCTCTCTCTCTCTCTCTCTCTCTCTCTCTCTCTCTTTCTCTTTCTCTCTCTCTCTCTCTCCACCGGCTTGACAAAATATGGAAGGGGATGGGATGGGTGGTATTCCGAAGTGTCGATTGATTTGCAATCGAAAAAAGGGTGCGGTCAGCCCCCTGTTGTAGTGTTCGTGTGTGGCGGTAAATTCTTCATGAACGTTTTAGGGCCTCTGCTGATGAACTGCTCTTACATAAGGGTTGTAGGTTACTGTGCACTATATTTTAAACTCGCATTTCTTGTTCTTATTGTAATTTCTTTCAAATTTAAATATAGAAAGCAGATGTTTGTTATGAATCTCATTCAATATAATTTCTCTTTTCTATTCAGGAACGGTTCTTAGAAGATTTTTTTTGAAGTCCTGATCTATCATGGAAAAAATTGCTGATATTGAACTGACTAGCATTGATACAATGGACCCCAAGCCAAGGTCGTTTGCTAACAATGCAAATGCTATCCTTATTCAGGTAATGGACTTTTTGTGAATGAAGCAATTAATATACTAAGACTAAACTAGACATTTATTTTTCTCCAAGAATCCATGTTTGTGTGTATGGACTGTTTGAAGGTGCTGCTAGTTGATCCTACTCTTATACTTATACTGTCTTCTTGTGCTTTCTTTCTATTTAGCTGTTAAGTTTTACCTCTCCCTTAATGGCGAGTTTTGCGTTAATGTACTTCGATTTTTTAAAAATCCTGGACACATTGTGCCAACATATTGCTAGTATGGAATTGGAGTTTAACGATCTCAGAGTTTCATTGTATGGTTTTGGTTTGACACTCCTATAAATCCTAGAGATAAAAGTGGGGAATATTAGGGCACCACTGGTAGGTTTTTACTTTCGTTCTATCATGCTCTTTTTAGTATTGTCTAAATACTAAATATTAAATTACCGTTATTGTGTTTATGTGCTTCTCTTTTCTAAAAAATCAGAATTTACATACATATATTGCTTTTTAAATATAACTCTTACAGAGTTTCAAATTGTGGAGCTGTGGGAGAGGGTAATTTATTTCAAGTGTCTGAATTGATGTTTGGTTGCTGATCTTAAGAATGTTGCTTGATGTCTGCCTGTAGGAAGATGACGTGGAGACACCCTATGGCAACATCCATGTTGCTATCCAAGGTGACCGCTCCAAGCAGCCTATTCTGACTTTCCATGACATTGGTCTCAATCGTAAGTCTAATAGTCTAAGAAAGGTCTTTGACATGTAATCAATTTTTAAAATAGAAATACTTTGTTAAATCAGGATGCAGGTTTTGGACCAGCTTTGCATCCAGAGATGTGTGATTTTGGGTCAACTTTGAAAGTCTGCCTTTTTCCCCTTTAGATATTTTTAGTCTGTTTTCACAATCTTCACATTCAACATTTGGACGTTGCCTTAGATCTTACTTAATTTGCTTGGATATTCCTAAACTTGCCAGGAACCCTACAAAAATGGTATATGAGACCCCCCCAAAAAAAGTTTTTAAGTTGACAGTGAAGAAATGCAGAAACAAAACAAGATAAGGTTACAACCCAACTATTATGCAGCTAAAAACACATCACAACACAATTTAAGCCTACAGTCCAGACACTGTGAAAAAATAGTTCCAGTCACTGAATAGTCCTTTTTGTATGGTGCTCCTCGACTTGCCTTCACAAATCGCCACAGAAAGTTACAAAAAATGACACTACAGTCAAAATAAAAATGGCTTAGCAATGTCAAACAAAAGTTGTTCCCTGTAATACCTTCATTTGTGCTGCCACAATGGTCGCGAAATGCTGTCGGACGTATATGTCTGATGCTTCTCCCAACAGAGCTGAAGGCTATCGCCCGGACGTATTTGTCTGATACCTCCTGAATGAGTTGATAAGGCTTAGGAATATGTTTTGGAAATTCAAGAGACCACAGTGTTTTAAATAAGCAAAACAATGAAACCATTATTTTGTTATATTTCTTGGGATGTGATGAGGGGATGATATCTGTTATATGTCTCCTAATGTTATAGATCTGGTACTTTTGAATGAAGATTCCCAAGTTGCCTTCAGTATTTATTGTTTTCTTTTTTAGCATAAAGCCATTTCTTATCAAATGTATGGTCTTGTTATCAATTGGTTCTCAGAGGAATTTTTTTTTCTTTTTTGTTTTTCAGACATCACATGCTTTCAAGGTTTTTTCAGCTATGCTGACATGCAGCCTATCCTTCGCAACTTTTGTGTCTACCACGTGAATGCACCAGGGCAAGACGAGGGTGCCTTGCATCTCAAGCCTGAGTATGAAAACCTGTTTATGTGGAAGAAAATCTCAAATGAGAAGAGTCACTTTTTGTCTCCCTTCTCCCTTCCAGCGTTGTTCTTTCCCCCTAACATCATAATAACAGAAGAAATACATGATAGGTGATTGCATTATTGGCTGGCTGTCAAGTTCTATGCTGAAGGAGCAGTAAAATCCAAGTAAATAGTGAAATGAATCTTTTATGAGAATCACCTTGCTCACTGCAGACTTCTCTCTACCTTTACTGAAATGGAGTCTGCTGTAATGGCGGTGTAAGAGGTCGTTAACTCAAGAGTACATCTAGCACTACCTTACCCGTTAACCTGAATCCCCCTAAAGCACCAGCTTTATTTATACGAGACCTCACTCACCCAGTAAAATCCTTGCATCAGCCAATTCACTGCTTTCTTCTAAAGTAAAAATACTTTTAGCAATTCATTAAAAAAACAACAACAACAGACCTTAGTTATATTGAGTAATGTCCGTGTTAAGGTTTTAGAAGTTTCAAAGATGTATGAATATGTAAAGAACTTTGGAGAGTGAACAGTGAGCATTTAACCTTGGTGAGATCGCATATCACCTGGAAAGATCTCTTACAAACTGTCATGTAATTTGAAAGTGTGGTTTGGTTTTGCTGTATATTAGGGAGATTGAGGTTATTATTCTTTGTAATGACATTGGTCCTGGGCTGCATGCTGTCGCTGGGATTATACAACTTATCTGTATAGCTTTTATTCTATGTTGCATCTTGAATACCTGTAAGAGTGGGATTGTGTAAAAGTAAAACTTCAGTTAACTTAAGTTCTTTTCAAACTTTTGACTGCCTTCTGTTTTATTTTGAGATCTTACTTTTGTAGATTCTTAATATTTAGTCTATAGAAATGATTTGTCTATTTCTAAGTGCCTGCATGTTTTATGTGCGTTTTTTTTATTTATTTCATAAACGGTTATGTGTTAGCACTTTTCATTATGACCTTGGAAAGTATTTGCTTTAGAATTGTGTATGACTTATTCTAATGAGCTGGGCAAGTCATGCATGGGTTCCATAGCTTACGCATGAATTTTTGCCATATTTCTGTAATGTGTATGTGTGTTTTGTTTGATCTTTTTTCATTTTCAGGATTGCTCACTTTATTTGCTAAGCCATTAAGATATTCATAGTGTCATGCAAAGTAAGCCCCAGAATGAATATTTCCATGATTCAAGTGTGGATTGGGCTACTGAATTGTATTTTTCAATTCGGATGAATTTCCATTCTTTGAGTGACGAGAAAACGCTATTTGCGATTGTCTTGGACATTCGGGGAGGCAAGAGTTTTGTTTTCAGTCGACCGCAGTTTACTTGACTGTCCATTCTGTGTACACCATGCTGTTTTAAGGTGATTATATTAAGTAATTGAGTTGCCAACCAGCTTTATTTACAACGATACTGTCAAATAAAGTGGAAGAGTAACTGGTTTAACTGGTTTTTGATGGGTAGTGGCCATGGTCTCTAAAGTATGCCTTGCCAATCTTTGTCGAAATTCATATCACTTTAAAAATCACTGCTGCAGACCTAAACATTCAGTTTTATGTGTCGGAGAAAGTTTTTTAAATCTCCTTTTTATGTGAAGTTAAGTTGCAGATATTGAAATATCTCTGCAGTGATAGTTCACAGCATAGGACCTGGTGAATTATTATAACGGAGATTGTTTAGGAAAATGAGTTTTGCAAGACTGACCTGCGATGCTTCCGATTCTGATGAGGCTGAGGTCTTAAAAAAAAGGAGAAAAAAGCAGCTTTGCATGACATTAAGATTGCCACTTTTAAGTGAGCAGGTTTGGCTATAGTGGTCTGTGAATGCTCTATGATGTTTTCTCTCTCACTTCCTCCCCAACACAACAGGCATGATGCACTGGGTAACCCCGATTCTCTGGGGAGCAGGTAGGTTTTCACAAACTGACAGCTTAATCATTCACTTAATTCTCACTCTCCATTTCTCTTGGGCTTCACACATCTTAACTCTTGCTTTTGTTCTTTTTTTTTTTTTTTTTTTTGATTGCCTTCATTTGTTTGTTTTCCTTTTTTGGGGGTCTTTTTTTCTGAAGTATTAAACAATTTCAACTCCTTACTTGGAAGCCTCGCCCCTCTTTCAGGTTTGTGTATTTTCCTCATGTTTATGTTTTCACTTGTTGATTAATGTCTTGCCTCTGTGTACATAATATGTAGAAAATTTAGCAGCATCCTAGCACTTTTCGCCAATGTTATATCCGATACTCAGGTTTTCATAATATTTTAGTGGAAATTGTTTTTTTTTCTGAGTATGAGTTTTCAAATTGATGCAGAAGTTTTGAGGAATAAATAAGTATATATAGTTAATATCATGATTCATAAACTGGTGAAAATTTTAATGAGGGATCTGTTTAGCTGGGTCGCACTTTGATGATGGATACGAGGCAGGTCATTAAAAGAAATAATAAAGAAATCTCATGTAGCTGGTTTTTTAGTGACTGCCGTGTGAGGTTTTGATAACCATGGATGTTGATAGAGAGTCCAATGAATGAAATCTGAGTATCCATGTAAACTCTCAAGTGCCCTCACACTTGCCTTTCTTTGAATTCACTCAAATCGCTTCTATAATTTATTGCAGATCTGAAGTTTTTTTTAGGGATATTGCATATTTATTCATACAAGCTGTTCCCTTAATTCTTTACAAAATCTTACTTATTTCTGTAGTTTTGCTTCTCTTGGGATAATCAAATTCAATCCCTTTGCACCCGAATATCCTTCCCCTCGAGGCAGTGCCTCTGACTGTAGTTTGTTTAGGCCATTCCCAAAGGGGGGACATTTCTTGTTAAAGCACAGTAGAATTGTAAATGGGCTGACTCATGTCAGGCTCATAACTGTGCCTGATCTACAACAGGGAACTGCTGCTTTTTCTTTCCTAATCCTTACTATTGTCATTTTCCTCTACTTTTTTTGTATGTTTGTCACTCTCTTGTGACCTGCTATTTCCAGGGTGCCTTGATAGTTGAAGCAGTCCTTGAGCTGTTGAAGTTATTGAGGTGAGCAGAGTAAGTCTGATTCCCAGTAAAGACTTCTCTGTTGACACTTGGCGCTCATATGACTTTATGCAGTTGCGAGCGCCGTAAAACCCTCTACTATAATTTTTTTTCAACCAAAAAAACCCTGAATAGCCTTGACTAATTGAACAGAAAACTGTTAAAAGTCTGAACATGTTTTTGGGACTGATGAGTAATCGTGTTCTGTTTTTGTGACCTTTATAGTTCCTTCTTGGCTTGCTTTTCTTCCTCTGCTTTGTGCAAGTAGGAGATAAAACATTTTTGTATTCTGTTCTTAAGGATCTGATTATTTGCCTTTTTTTGTCTCCTTATTCAACAGTTTTACATTTTGTATATTTGTGTGTTGTTGATTAGAGGGTGTGGTTGTTCTTATATGTCACATTCACTCAAGCCTTGGTGGTGGAAATATCTAGCACTCTAGATGCATGTTTCTTTGTACGTTTGGTTAGAATGCTGACAAAATTCAGCTTGATCTGTTGTTATTATGGAATGATAATCGTATAATGAAATCTAATACTTAAGAACTCGAGTTCCCCTAAGGTTCTTTGATGAAATACATGAAACTTTCTAATTGTAGATTTGATTTAAAAAGGAAGAATGAAATGGTTTATAGCATTTTCCTACCTTAGCTAATTTTCATATACTAAAATGTATCATAGAATAGTGGCTGAGACTCTTTTCAAGTTTTAGTAATTAGAGAATGATGGAATAAATTGTTACATCATTTAAATACATGGTGTTAAATTGCCAGATGTCATCTCTAAACATTTGATTAATAACATTCCTTTGAAATTTGTCAGTTTTTGCTTCACAGACAAACTTGATGTACTAATTTTTATTTTTTAAATCTTCAATGATGGTCCACTGAAAACATCTGATATGAGTAGTCTTTTGAATAAAATGCATAGGTGTAAACATACATTTATTAGTTCTGGTATTCGTAAATAGTTATTAAGTTTGTGTTCATCAGCTGTTCAAGTATACAAATGACATGTTTGCTTTGTTGATAAGGCATGGGGTCAGCCTTTATTTTCTAAATTAGATGAAGAAGACTAAGATTTTGAGGATTTCAAAATACTCAAAGAGATGTCATGTAAATAGAAACCAAAGAGTATGAAAAAGTGAGATGATGGAAGACATGTTTATCCAAAGCGTGTTGTTTTCTGAAGATTTATTTGCTGTTTCAGCAGGTCATTGAGAGTCTTATATGTTGTGCTTTTGACACAGCTTCTTTGAGGTTCCTGTGGACTGCTAGCTTGCTCCCCGATGCTTGCATTGTTTGGAACACTTAACTGACCAGGGCACTATGTGTTCACCTGTGAACTGACATGACATAATAGAAGAGAATGATTTTGTTCATAAAGGATTTTTTAGAAGTCAAGTGATTTTTTTCTTTGAAAGAGTAAAAGACTTAATTGTACTCTGACTTTTAACCTTTTTCGTGTGTGGGAATATATACCGGTACTCTAGTTATAAGTGAGAACAATTTGAATATTCATTTAATTTAATAACGTACTGTGTAAACCAGGCTCTGACTAGTGTGCATAGATGTTGATTTATATGAGCAATATTTTTCCTTAATGACAAAATATATTCTCATTATCTGGTAAGCTGAATGATGTAAAGCAACCGTCAAAATCAGCAAGTGATCAACAGTTTGTTGTTTTGAAGAAGGGAAGTTTCCCAGCGACCAGTTCTATTTGTCCAAACTTTGCAAAACTGTCTCACTTTCAAGCTGTTGAGTGAGGGAAAATTCAGTGGCAAATTTGATGTGGTAACTCAAAATACCATTTTCTTTTTCTGTGATCCATATATGTCCAGTCGCTTTCTTGTGAGTAAATAGCACAGATATCAGGAAGTGAAGATATTGACTTCCTAACAATTGCTTCCGTTGCTAATGTATCTGGATCTGGATTCGAAATTAAAATAAATTCCATAGTAAAAACCCTCCAAAACAGCATAGACAGCTCGTTATAGGTTGACGACTTTTTGATATGCTACCGTTCGAAAAATCCTCTTTTGAGATCTATGGAAAGGCACAAATTCGAAAAGTGGGCCAACAATAACGGTTTCAAGTTCTCCCCGTCAAAGACGGGTGCAGTACACTTCTGCCGAACAGGCAGACGTGTGCTGCAGCCGGATTTGACACTATACGGGGAAAGGATTCCTGTCCAGGACCAAGCTCGTTTCCTCCGCGTCGTTTTAAACAAAAAATTCGCATTCATACCACACATCAAAGACCTTCGTGTGAGGTGCCAGAAAGCGCTAAACACTTTGAAAATTCTATCGCATCCGGAGTGGGGCGGGGACTCAAAACACCTTCTCCACTTGTACATCTTCCTTGTCAGGTCCAGGCTTGACTACGACTGTCAAGTCTACGGATTTACAAAACCACACATCTTAAAAATGCTAGACCCAATACAAAACCAAGGACTCCGCCTCGCTCTGGGGGCTTTCCGCACTTCTCCGGTGGAGAGCCTCCAGGCCGAGGCCAACATACCACCACTCTCACTCAGACGCGCACAACTTTCACTACAATACGCAGTTAAACAGAGCTCAACACCGGAAAATCCAGCGCACGACTGCATTTTTAAAACAAACCCAGAAACCATAAACAAATTCCAAAACAACGAAAAACTCATCAAACCCTTCGGCCTCAGAATCCTTGAGGACCTCAAAAACTTACACTTTTCCAAACAAGACATCCAACAAATTCTTTTCCCCGACCTCCCTCCGTGGCACCTCACCAAGACAAAAGCAGATTTACAGCTGACCACACACAACAAAGAAAGCACACACACCAAAACTTTTTAAGCAGAATACAAAAAACTAATAGATAAATACCCCGGTGCGGAGCTCATCTTCACAGATGGCTCCAAAAAAGACAATGAAGTGGGCACCGCAGCTCTATCTTCCAACAGTACACACCAGAGGAGACTCCATCCTGAAGCCTCCATTTTCTCTGCGGAGGCCACTGCCATTGACATGGCACTGGACTCTGTAGAAAACTCTCCTAACAAATCTTTCCTTTTCCTTTCTGACTCTCTGTCTTGCATCACCTCACTCACAAACTACACACTCTTACATCCAAAAATAGTTAGGCTACAACAGAAAATCCATACACTATCCAAAACAGGAAAAAACATCATGTTCGCATGGATACTTAGCCATGTGGGCATCTGAGGAAACGAGCAGGTAGACGAACTGGCGAAGAAAGCTTCATCCCTTTTGCTGGGATCAACGACAAACACTCTCCCACAGACTGACTTTAGAAATAAAGTAAAAAAGTACACCTCCAGTCTGTGGGAGATCCACTGGGAAAAACAGAAAAACAATAAACTTTTTGTTATAAAACCCAAACTAGAACAGCGAAATCCTTCGGACCTTTCCAGTAGAAACGAAGTCATTCTTACTTGATTGCGCATCAGACACACAGCCCTGCCCCACAAATACCTCCTACAGGGAGATGAGAAGCCGTTCTGTGTCGGATGCGACACAGATTTTACCATTAGACACATCTTAACCGAATGTTAGACTTTGGAGAGATCCGAAGGAAATATTATAAATGCAAGAAATTGCAAGACATTTTTTCTGTCGTTGGTCCCAGCAAAATTTTGAATTTTATGAAGGCCATTGGCCTTTATGGCAAATTGTAAAGTGAAACAATATTGTTAAATCCAAACAAATGAAACAGAACACATTACAAAACAAATTCCAGTAGTGTATCAAGATTTTGAGCCAACACTAACATTCCTGACTGTTCCAAATACCTTTTGCAGAAAGGACTCTTATTTGAAGCAGCACTTACGTTTATTGAAACTTGTTGGTTTCCTCTCCATTAGGTTCGTTTTTCCCACCATGGACCAGCTTGCGGAGGCAGTTCATCATGTCGTGGAACATTATGGGTAAGGCAGAGCTAGTTTTTGTTTGTGGTTTCTCTGTACCCTGACACTACTCAGATAGATTCTCCAGTTGACTATTGAAAGAAAAGTTCGATCAAATTATGTGTTTCTTCAATGTGTTCATTCCAGTAATTGATTTTCAGGGTGGATCGAAGTTGTTTCTATTATTAATTTATTGTGGGGGAAGTTTTTTTGTAGTTTGTCTTGCTGTCACATAGCAGGTGCCAGAAAACCTTAAACTGTGTAAAAATTCTGTCTCATCCGGAGTGGGGCAGGGACTCATAACACTCTCCACCCTTAATGTCCTTGTCTGATCCAGGCTTAATTACGGCTGTCTAGTCTTTGGATCGGCAATAGCCCACATCCTAAAAATGCTAGACCCAGTGCAAAAACCAAGCACTCCACCTCACCCTGGGGCTTTCCGCACTTCTCCAGTGGAGAACCTCCAGGCCGAGGTAAACATACAATCATTAACCAGGGATGCCACTTTTCCGCTTTTTTCCGGATTTCCGTTATTTTGATCCTGATCCGCTATTCCGTTATTGAGATCGAGATAGAATCTATAGTTAAAAGAAAACAACAACCCACACACACACACAACAAAACATTCTGTCATCTTAAGTACATCTAATCAATTTTTAAAAAATATTTGTCTTTTCTTTCTATCTACACCCCTTCTCCTCTATGTACACTCTTTGGGTTTCAAATTGATATTCATATGATTGTTAGCGAGACCGTGGCGCGTGGATTTTCAGCTATTTTTAAAAAAGTTGAGTGGCTTCCCTGTAAACAGGTTGCATTTGTAGTTACTTGAAGTCTCAATAGAGGTACAGGCATAATGTATCTATGCAGGAAACTTTTTTTCCATTGTTCTTTTGAAATGACATAAGCTTGGAAACATTTTCTCATCTAGTCTGATCAAACCTTGCTAACTCCTCAGGATGAAGACCTTCATTGGTTTTGGTGTCGGTTCTGGAGCTAACATTTTGGCTCGCTATGAGGTATGTTTATGTTTATGTACGTCTCTTTTGAATGCCTTTACTACATCAACAATCAAATTTACATCTTTTTATAGCCAAGTCTTTTGAAAAATCAGAGTTTCTGGTTTCTTCCCTAGTTGTCAAAGGAAAATTTATGTACTTCTTTATAAATGGTACATGCAGTGGATTTTGCTGAGGGTATTGAATGTCAATATAGTTTCGTGCTCAGATTTTATTACTTTTTTGTCTTGACATTGGTATTTTTCAAGAGATTGTTCAAAGTTACAACTATAAAAATATTATTGTTTTATACCCAAGCCACTTCTAACTTAAATGACCGATGTTTTGTTGTATTTTTTATCAGTGGGAGCAATGGGACTTGACAATGCTGTGCCTCTTTCCATCTTTACTGTTTCTTTCTATCTGGAACTTGGTCCAAATGAATTTTTGACTCAAGATGCCGATATTTGTTCAGGGAATACATTTTCACATGCAAAGCAGGAAATAAGAAAAATTATGCTATGAAAAATGTTACAGATGATTGGAAATGAAAGCTTTCTTTGCCTTTGGTAAAGTCATAGTAAAGGATGTGCAGGTGGTTGAAGGGGGCAACTGGCAGGTTGTAGTTTTCTTTCCCTCTGTTGTTTCCGTCTATCCTTCGTTTTCCTTACACTAAGCGGCAGTTATCGTTTCAATGTGTTTCTGTCTATTCAAATAAATATTTAACTAGCATGTTGGTAAAAAGACGTGAAAAGCATATCTTGTGTTTTTGTGTGCAGTTGAATCATCATGAGCGAGTGGATTCTCTAATCCTAGTGAACCCAACCTGTAGCAAGAGTGGCTGGATTGAGTGGGGATACCAGAAGGTGAGTTTTACTCTCATTGGAATGTGTGGGATTAAGCATTGCTTGCTGGCCTTGTCACATATTTTGATGGTTTATGCTCTAATCCAGTAAAATTAGAAAAATTTTTAACAGGCCTATTCGAAATTTAAATGATGAGAAAAGAAACAAACATCAGCAGACCTGCCACTCATCCAGATCCAATTTTTTGCCTCAAATCTCAAACATCCAGATTTTCCTGATTTCGATTGCATGTATCCCTATGTTTGTGTGCCGACTGTTGCGGTGGATTTTTCTTACAACTTACTCTGCCTTCTTCTCTGTCGCGGGAAGCACCTTTTAAACTTTTTGTCAACAAGAAACTCGGAGAACTACTTTCCGAAATATCGATGCTGAATTTTGGTAGTTGACTCGATCCATGTTGTGTTGGATCATTGCTCGCAAGTGTTATTTCAACTATAATGGAAGTAGCATCGATTTGGCATTCCGACTTTGGGACATTCTCAAGATCTACTTTTGCTTTTGTTTCCTCTCAGAATTCTCAGATGATGGCCTGATAAGTGTTTCTATTGCGACACACAAATGATCAATACTATTCATAGTTCTGCTGTTTCTTTCAAAACAAGCTTTGTCCAGGTTCTGGATAGTCAGGCCCTTCATCTAGACTCGTCATTAAAATTATTTCAATTGTACTTTCACTCCACGTGACTTCGGCATGTGAGTTTCGCCAATGTCAGGGACCGGCCGTCAAGGGGGTCAACTTAAGTTCAGGCACATAAAGCGTCTTTTGAGACTAAGTTTGGAGGTCTTTCTTATGTTTCATTCCATAGTTTTCATTCCCAATGCCTCAAGTTGATAAATGAAAGTTAGGGCAATGTGATGTAAAAAAATGTTTTCATCTTGATGACTTTTTCCAGTCTGAGGTAAGCTGTTTGCATAGCTATTTACAAAACACGTAAGATTAACTTTTTTGATCCAGACCCAGTTCGTCTTATCCACTCTTTGCTCAATTTTATTTCGTTTCAATCCACAATATATTTCTGACTCAATATAACATATAACTTATATTTCGATGCTTAGTTTTCTATATGCATAATTTTCTTTAGACGCCATCTTCTTATGCTTAGGATTTTTATCCTTATTCCTTGGGTAAAATAAGTCTGGTATCAGGCATCATCTAACAATGTCTTCAATCTGTGGCATGCATGGTCTGTCTCAACCACAGGAAGCCCTGTGGTAGTTATACAAAGACTTCTGCCTTCTGCTACTGATATAGAGTACACATTTATTCGCCAGCAATGGGACTACAAGCCAAAGACAAACAGAGATTTTCAGTATGCAATGAAGAGGTCTTTGTGTAAACTCTGTTTTTCTCAGATGTGAATAGTTCAATATCTAAACAGTAAAAGACATTTTCTGAAAAAGCAGCTGTCTCTGAAAATGCAGGTAATTTAGGTAATATTTCAATTTGGAATTTGAGCAAGTCATCATGTTGTGCCACTTGTATATCACTGATTTGACAGTGTTTATTGACGAACATGGTTTTTTTTAAAGGACAGAATCATGTATCATCATGTTATTTGCCATTGTACCGAGAAAAATTGGTTACTCTTTTTTCCAGGGACTATATTGTTTTTGTTCTTTCCCCTGTTGTCCTTACCTGAAGTGCCTGAAAGCTGACACCAGACTGACTGTGCATTCTTTTACTTTCCCTAAATTTTGTACTTGTGTAGGAGATTGCTGTCATTTGGTTGCTTTTCTCTTTTACAGATGAACTCCTGGTATCTGTTCAGTGGTCAGTTGACCAATTTCACAGAGGAATACCTGCTCTGGCACTGGTTTGGCAAGGTAGTGTACATATGTTTTGATCCTTGCCTTATGTGGTATTCATTTTATGAGTCTCTAAGAATTTCTCACTTATGGTTTTGTGCCTTTTTTTTTTTTAAAGAATAATTTGGGTTGTTCTGTTATCTATCTTGCTTCTCTGATATTGTTTTCTTATTTGAAGGCAGAAAAAAAATTCTACCAAAAATTTTTGACAACTTTTATGTTTAAATTTCTGACGTCAAATAACAGTTCAGTTGTGCTTAAATTAAGACTGAATTCAAAAGATACATCCAAAGAGGACCCTTTTGTAATCTTATATTAGATTTATAAGTGTTCCTAGATAGCCTTGGGCCAATAAAATGCTGTTTCACTGTTGGTGTTCAATGGGTTGCTTTTGGGTGCTCTGTAGACTAAATCATGCTATATTCTGATTTGTAGTGTTTAAAATAGGGGGCATGTGACATTATCATCAACATGACATTGTTTCCAAGGTTTTAGAATGTAGAAAGTGTCTTATGCACACCATCTGACTTCCAAACAATCAATGGCCCCACTGACTTTAATTTAGCATGTTAAAAAGTTATGTTTCATTTTGTGTCAGATTTATTGTTTCATTTTCTCTGCTGGCATCTTGAGTGTGCCACTGGTAGCCCTTACCCTTCTGTTGTTTCTGTCTGTATGTCATACTTTTTCCTAGCATTAAATTGTACTAAGCCTAGAGTTGGGAATTGAAAAAAAAATGCAGATTTTTAATTTGTGGTATTGGTTGCATGTGCTCAAGAAATATTTTGTCGAAATTCCAATTCTAAATGTTGAAAAAAATTAGGAAAAAAATACCTAATACAGGTAACATAAAAGAATAATAAAAGTTTTTTCTCTTCTGTAGAATTTTGCTGTCTGGGCTTTGTACATTTTAACAGCTTGCCGACACTATGTTTTCTCAACACAAAATAAAAAACAAAAAGGAAAAAGCTTCATTCTCTGTCTGCTATTGGCTTTGTAGAAAACCCGCTGGACCAACCATGATTTGATCCACACATACAAAGAGTACATCAAGACAATCAACCCTCAGAACCTGGCTCTCTTCATAGAGACCTTCCTCAAGTGAGTTCTTTTTCTATGTCAGTTATGTACAGGCTTGAGAATGATTGGAGGGTTTAGCCGTTGGATGTATATATTTGCTGTTCTTCCTCTTTCGCTTGTTTTTGAATCGATACATTTTAGTTTTTTTCATCACTTTAAATGATGATTGTCATCTAGTCTTAGCTAACACTGCATTGCAATTTGACCAGGTGTTTGTTTTTTTAAACTATGTCTTGATCGTTGTTGATAGTGTAATGATTATATCATTTGAGATGCATTTACGTAGACCTCATCCATTTAGAAAACTGTTACTTTGTACAATGTTTGTCAAAAAACTTAGATCTGAAGTTTTAAACTTAATTGTCTTTGTAATTATCTGTTACTAGCTGCTCGTGTACCTTTAGCACGACAACTTAGAACTTACGGCTTAGACAATTACGTATTGCTTTCGACAGCCACCACTGTCAGGACTAATTGACAACAGTTTTGCTGTCACTACAGAAAAATGCGACAAACGGTTTAGAAAAAATTGTAAGAAAGGGTATTGGTGCAAAATTTCAATGGACTGTAGTTACCTCGTATTTTTTTGTCAGTTTAGATTGGATGTTTTCCCCGCCTTGTTCTTTTGCAGGCGCTCAGATCTTGGGATTGTCCGTGAATTGGATCCAATGAGAAAGGTGTCTGCGAGAACCATCAGGTACTGTGTGCCAGCTGTTACTTCTTTCTCATAGTCTTCATTTTTTCAGTGTGATTTGGAAATGAACGCTTTGTTTTACCTTTAAGACATTATTCCACTAAAGAGGAGAAACTAAACATCTGTTCTTTAAGATGTATGCATGGACAGGTGAGAGGGAGGGAAAGGCCAACTATATGGATTATTGTGTTCTACATGACTGTAGTAATTCTGTTTGTGTCTCTGGGATGTGTAAGAAGATGCATACGTTTTGATTGCTGATGTGGACATGCTGTTACATCAGTTGGTATCATGCTGGGTTATGGTGCATATGGCCCTGGATCAAATCCCGAGTGGGATGATCTTGAACATGGTCAGGGAGTCTCCAAGACTGTCCAATTTACTTGGCTTGATTTTATCAGAGATGGACTCTTGTGGTCTAAAGGTATGGTGTTCACCTCTCGTTCTATAGGTCCTGTGTTTTAAACCTCACAGCGAAGGAAAATTTTCTTTTCTTAAATTTTCTCCTTTCACTTCCCTTCCTGCTCTCTAATCATGTTCTGTCATTTACCTTTATCGTCACTTTATGCAACCCCCCCCCCCTTCTGTGGGCTCTCGACTTTTTCTACTGCTACTCCTGCAACATCCCTGATCTTAGGGTAGGTAAAATCAAACACCAAGCCCTCTTGTATAAGGGCGAGAAAAAAAAAATGTAGGAGGTCCCACGTGCAAATTGCGCACATTTAAAGATCCCTTGATGGTCATAAAACCGATGATAATAGGTTTTGGCCACCACCCAGGCAAAATTCAAAATCAGTTCCTACCAAATTAAAAATTCTTTATGTGTCCCACCACCCATATGACCGTATGCAGTTGTGAGTGCCATAAAACACTTACCAAAACAAAAAAAACCCAACTATTTTATGTTGTCAGATGTCGGTCACTGGTGCTGGTTGGGGACGATTCTCCCCACATGTCCGATGTGGTGGACATGAATGGACGGATGTTGCCAGAGCAAACAGATTTCATGAAGGTAAGATGAATAAAGTAAAATATGCTTCTACTTTTATTGGCCCTAGTGGGAAAATCTGGTTTGAAGAAGCATTCATAAATGGTCCCTTTTAAGGACAGGCGGGCTAACCAGATTTCGGGGGTTTCCCAGAAATATTGACCTACCCCAAAAGTGGGCACTGCCCTACCTATAGGAGAAGTTTGGTTCCTTTGGTGTGTATATTTATTTGGTTAAAGAGAAAACTCTCCTTGTTATTTAAAGAAACTGAACAAGGGGCAAAAACTTTACCTTTGATTTTCTCGAAACAGCATTTTTCGGGATAGCTCCCTTGTGCTTAAAAGCAACCAAATACATATTGTTAAATCATTGTTGTAGAGACATACATGTTAACCTTGTTGTGACAGGTGCTTTCTGATACCGGACTCAATAATCTAGCTCTCTGTGGGATTCGCTCCACAGTGATGATATCAAATTCACAAACAAACACTTGTAAACACTATGAAAAAAGCTTGCACTCAAATGCTGCAGCATGAACACTGGTATTTGGTATCATCTTCTGAGGTTTGCAGTGGCTGGAAAGTAATAAACATGACTTTGTTGGTAAATGAAATTTGAGAACATAACAAAATCAACATTCACGTTGTAAGAAATGAAAAGAAAATTCTTGTTTAACTCTTATCCTGCGTCTGTGCCCAGATGCGTATCTTATCAGCAACCGATTGCGTCGGACTCGCCGGGCAGGCCGCCAGGGTCACTCAGTGTGTACTGTTGGTGTACAGCGCGCGCGCCGGGAAACGTGTGTTTTCGCCATGAATACCGCGGGAGTGTGTTAACTGATGATGAAAATAACGCTCTATCCTTCATAGCATTCTATTTATAAAGTGTTACAAACACATGAATAACCCCCTCTCACAAGCTGATAAGACATTACGAGTAGTTACGCCCATTTGAATAACCTTTCTGGACGCTCTTGTTGTTATGAATGACCTGAGGTTCGAAAAGGGATAATTTAGGTCAATTTCCGAATGTTTTACACTCAAATTGTTCTTTGTACCTGCACAAGGGTATTCAAAACTATCAAATAAGCTCATTTTTTATCAGGTAGTATTATTTCATACAAAATCAAGCTCATTTGAAACATTTTGTATAGAAAAAATGAAAGTCTTGTTTCCTGACTATCCTTTCGAGCTCCTCATGTCTAAGTGGGTCAATTTCTTCTATAATTTCATTGGATGAACATCTAGAGCTATCAACTTGGCATGTTTTGAATGAGACGTATGCCTCGATTACGAACCAACGCAGGTGGTTCTAGAAGAAGGCCACAAACGCACACAAACTCAAGCAGACTGACGCACACACACTTGACCTGCGTGAATGGGGATCCGACTCGGGACCCGAATGACACGTAAGAGGATGCGCGCTGCGCGTGCGCTGAGCCAGGAGCTATACTGACTCGGGACCAGAACGCAGGCGAGGTGCCGAAATAGGCTTATCGGGCTACATAAACCCGGCTCCCGCAGGATGAGGGTTAAAAACCCTCAAGTTCTCAGCCTACCTCTAATCACATCTCTCTCCCTCTCGCTCGCTCGCTCCCTCCCCCCCCCCTCTCTCTCTCTCTCTCTCTCTCTCTCTCTCTCTCTCTCTCTCTCTCTCTCTCTCTCCCTCTCTCTCTCTCTCTCTCTCTCTCTCTCTCTTCCTCACAGCGCACCGGCAGTGGAATTTTAGTTGCCGCGGGGGTGGGTGCCTTATCACGTCGGGGTCGCGGGGGTCAGCTCCCTGTCGCCGCTCAGTCTGGGCCGACTTAATTTTTGGTACTTTTCAACGTACAATTTAAGGTGTATCCTTGTATTTATGGTAATTCTCATATAGTGCACCCAAAGTATGCATTTCTGCTCTTGAGACTCAAAAAAGAACGGACGTTGTAACTTGTCTGGTTATTTCGTTAGACGCGCTGGATTCGGCAATGCTAAATTGTAATTTTTTTTGGACTAGCGTGAATGAAAAAAAATCAATATAAAAAAAAGGCCTCGTCAAAATCTGTCGAACTTTTGGAACATGAACGACATAGCATTGGTGCAGATACTCAGAAAAGATGGTATCTGCGCATATAATAGAAAGCTGTAATTTTGCAACTTTATCCATAGGGCACACAATTCGCTATGAAGTAATTCCTCCAAATACAACTTTATGTTTCTAATATAATCGTGAATATTCGCATATTTTCTCGAAAGTTTATAAAAGTCACCACGAAGTTTCTCTATGAAAAGTGCAAATCGATTTTAGTGCTAGAATACATCTTCAATGTAGATCTAATACACGAACAGCATCTGTTACCCTCCAAAAATTCCTTACTTTTCTTAAAACGCTAAGTCTAGGTTTTGTAATTTGACTGAATAACAGGGATGACTTCTCGTAATTGGGTTATAAGAATAATTTCTAGCTTTACAGGGACACTGAATCAGCACCAGACTTTTCCAGCTTTAATTTTAGTTTCTAAGACCATTTGCAATAACTGACAATGTGACTGATTTCTTTACATTCATAATTGTGTCCGCGAATATTTCCGACACAAAAACTAAGAATGAATGTGTTAGCTGTCATTATTTTTATTCCATACAAGAAGTTAATCTATACCCATGTATTTACACGGTTTTGTAGTTTTTTTATCGCTTAGATTCTATATTATATCTTTTTAGTTGTATGCAGGCTGCCACAGACACAGCATGATTCATGAACAAACGCAGAGTAACTTTCTCTTGTTTAATAGTAAAATAAGAGCTAACGCTGATCGTCTTAAGTTAAAAAATGCAGATGTGCATCTGTCTTCTCTTATAACTTCACTATTTGTACTCACGCAGATTTAAGATTTCTCATGGTAAAAGACATGACATTCGTAGTCAGTTAAACACAGTTTTTGGAGAGATCTGTCGTGCCTTTTTAAAATTAACAATCATTTATTCATAAGTTCGTAACTAAAATAGGACAAATTGGGTACTCTACAAACACTTGTCTAGAACAAAAACTAAGGCACAGAAATAAACCATTGTAACGCAGAATAAATCTCAAGACATTGAGCTTTTAGTACATCTGCATAATGGTTTGCTATGTGGGATGGGGAAGAAGCTATATCGTTTTAAACATAGTCAAAAATGCGAACTTCCTAACCGACACCGGCAAAGTCGCTTCAGGGCTCATTAACCCCGTGACCCCGAGCCGGGGAGCTCCGGCGGGCTGCTGAGTCGCGCGAACTAAAAGTAACAGAATCGGGCGAAAAGTGACGCCGTGTCCTCTCTCTCCCCTCTCTCTCTCTCCCCTCTCTCTCTCTCTCTCTCTCTCTCTCTCTCTCTCTCTCTCTCTCTCTCTCTCTTCCTCTCTCTCTCTTGTTTTTTATGAAGAGGCACATAGACTCAACTCATTTACATCAAATTTTAGTTATGAATATTCTACTTCCATTTCTCAGCTGTAACTATTTTAGCATATTTTTGTTTTCACACGAACAGACTCTACATATATAGCCAATTTGGTGCTGACTTTGAAAAGGTCTATCAAGCCAATTTGAATAGATGTTTTATAAAACAGTACAGAGCTAAGATAAACAGATTGGGCTGTCTACAAATACTTTCCTCAAAGGCAAACTGAGAAGTCTAAAAAGACCACTAAAAATCAAGATAAATCTCAAAACAGAGCTTTTTGTATGTGTATGCTGAGGAGTTTGCTCCGAGATTGGCAGGAAGTTACATTGTTTCAAATGTTGATAAAGAGATGAACCTGATAAAGGTCACTGGTGAACCCATCTCCGCACCAGTCGATCCCGATGACCCTGAGCTGGGAAGCCACCAAGAGTTGATGCGTCACTCGATCTAAAAGTCGTATATTTGTGTGATAAGTAATGTCATTCCCTTTGCAAAACCTTAAAGTCTCAAACTAAAATGAGTGTTACATTGATGTATGATATTTCTTAGACTGAAGTTGTTGATGATGATATACTTATGTGCAATAAGTATGAGAGAGACACTGACAACATGTGTCACTAGTTATGAGAAAAACACTTGATGCAATCGTATGATTTGCTCAGATTGCTGACTGTGGAGGGATGCCACTGGAAGAACAGCCGGGCAAGACCTGCGAGGCTTTCAGGCTCTTCTTGCAGGGAATGGGATATGGTGAGTTACTGCTTTTGTGGAAGCCTTTGCTTGTTTGTGCGGGTGGTGGGTGGTGGTCTGACACGCATGTTGCCGGCGTGACGCTTGCTCTTGGCAAAGCATTCTTGTGCATGGTAATGATATTGGAATAATCATTTGCAAATGTGAGTTAACTTCATACAAAGTTCAGCTAATGTGTGCTATCAGATTTATTTTGATTTTAGGTGAGCAAAATGCTGCTGTGTGGCCCAAGACTGTTTATATCTCTTTGTTGTAAGACAGCTGTGGCAGTGAAAGGGTTAACTGCTCATTCATATTAGTATGCACACAGGTCTTAAGAGTAGTTCTATGATGATTTAACAAATAAACCAACGAGTTTGCCTCCCTAATACAACTTGCTATCATTTAACATTTACAAATGCAGTTTTTTCCGTGTAGAGCTTTGATACATGTCTTATATAGTTATAGTTCCTGGGTTATTGGAAAATATCCTATGGTTGACTTAGGCTTTGATATATTTAAGAGTGGCCATTTCACAGCTGGTGTTTTATCAATTGCAAACAAGCATTTTGTTTTCAAAACTCATTTTCTCTCTTGGTTGAGTTCAGAGGGTACTGACGTTGTGCTTGAAGGAATAGGAAGGGCCACAAAGAGTATGTAGAGTGTTAACAAATTTCAAATAGTAGTTGGAATTAGGTTTGGTATTTTTTGGGGATGTCATTTGTAGGATTTGTGCAGAACCGCCACTTTATTACCATTGATTCATCTCCTTGACATGGTATAGTTGCATGTCAATCAATGAATTTAGCTAACTTATGTTAACCATGAAGGCGTCTTTGGAAAAGTTGAAGTGAAATTTTAATGCTGTATTGAAATTACTCCAATGTTTTATTAAATGTGTTAACAACTGTTTTATTTATATGTATGGGCTTGTGTCAACAATAGTGATGGCATCAGAAACATGGGGACCATTTGGAATGTCTTTTCTGCATTTCCCATTTTGAATAGCAATTAAAAGATGCCTTGGGGAGGGGATGGGCGAAATGTAGTGTAGTGTATCTACAAAAACTCATTATTTTTCTTTTACTCTTACCAATGTCACTTCCTCTATCATGCAATGCCATACAAAGGGTGTAAGGATCTTCATAAGTAGCACCTCCTTTATTTTTAAACACAATTTAGCTTCGCACCTGTGCTTATTTCTTTGCATTTTCTTTTTTATCTTTCATATCTGATTTCTTCAATTTACTGCACTTGGCTTTCCTCTGTTCTTGTCATGTCAATAGTGTATTTTAATCAGTTGTTACTCTACTTTCGTTTAGTACATGGCCAGTTGTCTTAAAATCTCTTCTGGAGAAATGTTTCCATATGAATAGCTCCATTAATGGATATGATGTAGAAGTAGTGCAATTTGTCTCTATTTCAATCCACTGATAACTTCAAAAGTGATTTCATTGTCATTAAGTGTGTTTTGTGTTGTCTGTGGAGTGTACACAAAAGGGCTCTCTCTCTCTCTCTCCTCTCTCTCTCTCTCTCTCTCTCTCTCTCTCTCTCTCCCTCCCTCCCTCCCTCCCTCCCTCCCTCCCTCTCTCTCTCTCTCTCTCTCTCTCTCTCTCTCTCTCTCTCTCTCTCGACTGAAGTATCTTTAGGCCATTCCCAAAGGGGGACATTAACATGTTCTTATGCACAGTAGAATTGTAAATGGGCTGATTCATCAATGTCATGCTCATAATTGTGCCTGAACTGCTGCTTTTTCTTTTCTAATCCTTACTATCGTCATTTTCCTCTACTTCTTTTGTATGTTTGTCACCCTCTTGTGACCCCCTAATTTCGGGATACCTTGATAGTCGAAGCAGACTTCGTACTGTTGAAGCTAGAGAGGTGAGCAGAGTAAGGGTAGAACCATATTAATGCCAACACTGACAGTCAGACCAGACCCGCCATTTTCCATTCGGTGCGGCCGGCCATATTAACATCGGAGTTAAACGGTCAGACACCGCCGTCTTGCAAATATGGCGTGTAGTAGACTTTGAAGAAGAAAATTGTTGTTGCTTTTGAGACGCAGACAAAAAAGGAAAACCAAGACAAGAAAATTTTCGGTGCATTTGCATTCAAAGAGATACACCAGGTGAATTTCAATATTTGTTTTCACAGTTGTTGGAAGATAATGAAAAATTCCAACAATACTATTACATGAAACATAACAGTTTCAATGAACTGTTACAGATATGCAGAGTGACCAAGAACTGCTAGAATTCTGTGTAGTATCATTGAGGCGGGAAAGGGGACCCAACTATGCAGTGATTACATTAAAATTACGTCCCATCTCGCCCGACGAACCATCTTCGATAAAACATGTTGTATCGGAGATGGTCTGGCTGGGGACGAAACAGGACGTCGGGCGTCGTATTTTAGCCGAAACCGTTTTTTGTTACCATCCTTTGCTAAAGAGGCGGTGCGCTTTCTTTTGTGCTTGAAGACGGTCTGGTTTTACTGTCCGTGTCGGGCGTTAATATGGTTGTGGCCTAAGCCTGATTCCCTGTAAGCACTTTTCTGTTGACCTCCACCCCTTGGCAGTCACATGACCTTATGCAGTTGCGAACGCTGTAAAACCTCAACTAGAACTAATACAAAACTCGTTCTCTCTTTTTCTCTCTCTCTCTCTCTCTCTCTCTCTCTTTCTCTCTCTCTCTCCCTCCTTCCCTCCCTCCCTCCCTCCCTCCCTCCCTCCCTCCCTCCCTCTCTCTCTCTCTCTCTCTCTCTCTCTCGTGCATTGAAATATTTAGAATAACAACAGCCCATGAGTTCTATGTAGTAAATGAAGTGCTATGAAAGTGGTTATATCTTTTATGTTGTCCCTGTGTTTTTTTGTTTTTGCCATTCCGTTGCTGCGTTGCCGTTTGCTAGATTAGGGAATTTTTTTGTTTTGTGTTTTTTTTTGTGAGTAGCAAACTGTAAAATCTGTATAATACCTCTCAGTTGAGAATTAGAGTTGTCTTAATGCATTGATTGGGGGGTCTTTAACGTTGAAGAGTTGACTGATTTGTCCTCATTTCTTGCAACACGACTTTACCTCTTACGTGAATATGCCTTGAGTGAGGGTTTGTTGTTGTGCAGATTTAGGAGCTTTTTGTCCAAATTTTTGTTTAGACTTTTCTTTGTTCATTGTGTCCTATTAATTTCATTTTTAGTGTTGTTCACCACTGCTGAAAATGTTGCATGCTTCTACTACTGACTTTTATAATGCTAAGTTATCTCTTCCAAGCCTTTTGTGTTGTCTGGTGTTGTGTGCAAAGCTTGTCTTGCTGTGTGACATAAATTTAGAAGCTGATATGACCATAAACAATTTGTTTTCATTGGAGTTGCAATACTTTTGCCGCATGAAATTATCTAGATGTGATGTCGGGTAAATATTTTACAGCTTGATGTCGGGCATTTTGAGGTTAGGTTATGAATTCGGAAGTGTCAAATATTTCAGAGATTAATTAGTCAGCGGTGTGTGTATTTGCTTTCCATAGCTTGTTCACTTTTGTTTGACCATGCTTAACACTTTGCAGTCACACAGCGAGCAGTACAAAATTCCTCGTCTTGTTACCCAGCCAGAGGAGCAGAACTGTACCATGTGACAGGAACAGATTTTTTTCACCGTGGCATTATTGCAGCAAGTGACCGCAAAGTGTTAAAATAAGATCAAATGAAACCACTCTATTCTATTCGGGTTTAAAAGTTGGATGACCAACAGATTCTAAAAGCCGGTTCATAAAGGTCACTGCAAACTAAGGTTCTGACTTATTTTTTTTTATGTAAGCCAAGAGAAGGTCAAAGAATAATAGGGGCTTTACAGCATACTCGTAAAACATTTTAAGTTAACATATTTTCCTCAACACCACTTTAATGGTGGCATAAGAAACACGATTCAAGAGACCTTTTAGTCTCACGTGGAGCAGATGGAGACGTCTAGACAGCTTGAGGATGAAATCTACAAGGTAACCCTGAAATATGAGGGCAGGGTGGTGTCGCTGTCTCAAAATGAGCAATTTGTAGGCAAGGTTGCTGTAAGTCTTTTATTTTAGTGATCCTGTGTGTGCACCCAAAGAGCATTTTTTAAAATAAGGCCCAAAGAGAAAAACTTTTATTGTTATTGGATCAAGATTTTTGTGAAAAATATTTTTGTTTAGTTGCTGGCCAGCAGAAGAGCCGTGCAAAGTTTTGTGGGCATGGGTAAATTCCTAAATAAGCTGGAATTTTTTTTACGTGGTCAGACAAAAGTGAACAAGCTATAGCCTTTATAGAGCTGTTGTGGAATTGAATTTCTACTTTCAACTTGGTGGAATCAGGCACTGGTCAGTTTTTGGGCATATGGAGTTATTGTTGTCATCCTAAAGCTTGTCCACCTGTCTTTTTTTAAAACTGTGAATATAATATCTATCTATCTATCTTGAATAGAAGTCGAGGTATTTGCGATTGTTTTTAGAGGTAATATTATCAAGAAAACGGCAACCAAAGTTTGGTGATTTCTGTAACTTCAGACTCCTTGAAAATTGAAAATTTACATTCTTTTTTGTGCTTTTAATCAACATTTTTCAGTATACTTCTCTATTTAACTCTATCTCCGGCAAGCGGCTCACGGTCGGAACCACTGCCGGTGAGCCGCTGCTGAACTGTTGGGCACTTTCCTATATGACGACTTCGACATCAAATTACTTTTCGGCCATTGTTGAAAACAGGTCTCTTATACGGGAAGTTCATTCATTAGATGAAGAATTATCAAAATAGGTTTGCCGGTTTCGATTTAATGACCATTGAATGAAGTTTTTGTCGTTTTTAGATTTAGCACCAAAAAAAGGGCCCCGGCATAGTGTGTTTACCCCCTTCGGAGATAAAGAGTTAAATGCACATAAAAAGGGATGAGCCAAAAGACAAAAAAAGATTGACCAAAATTGCCAAACCGGCAGAAAAATGCATTTCCCTTCAATTCCATTATTTTTACGTGCACTGGATTTCACCATGATTCCTCACAATTGTTTTTTCGTAACTTGGCCATACCCATGTGCCTGTATTTTCATGAAGTGGAGTTTACTTTCGGGTATTTACTTACAAAATTTGGGTCCTGTCTCTAGAGTAAAGTAGAGTTTACTTCTCAGTAGCTGAGCTGTAAAAGGTCGTGGAATTTTGTATTTGTCTCTTATTTTGCTATTTGTTGAGCATAGTTGTAAGAAGAACATACAGTAGAAAATAATAGTCAATAACGCTCCGGACAACTCAGCTTTATGAAAAGATTCTGCCCTTACTACCATGCTTTGTTGTTTTCTTACTGATCTTAATTACACTGGTCTGCAGAAAATTTGCTTCAGGTTCCTGTTGATGGTTTGTTGTTTTTTTTTACCTAATTTGGGATACTGAATTTGTTTTTTATTTTTAGGTCTAGTTTTTATGATATAACTTGAGATTAGTTTTCCTTATTCCATGTCCATATAATAAAAAAAGACAGTGCAGTTGGGACCAGTTGAGTTGCATGAAAGTAGCATATTTACTAAGTAGTTTGATGCAATATTTTTCCTCTGTGTTGCTCTATTGTGACCACTCAGTTTTCACTCAACAAAAGGAGTTTCTCAAATCTGGAAGTAGCTTATTTTATTCAACACCAATAGTCGTTATATGTTGTCATTGCACAAACTATTCTGGCAACTATCTGTTTGTGCCGAAATAATCTGTACTGCGCAAAGGAGAACAATATCATGCTTAGTTAACAAGGCCTTATCACCTTTTTTAAGATGCAAGTTTAGTTACCATGACAAAAAGTAAGCTCTTCGTGTAAGCTGTAATTTATGCTGTAGGTAAGGAAGAAAAATAAGAAGAAGAAAAAGAGAAGAGGAAGAACAGGAACAAAAACTCCAGAGCCAAGAGTCTCAGTTTAGGCACTTCGAAAAATGATGGAAGTCTTATGGAAGGGAAGAGTTAATGGACAGGAACTTCAGTGGGCCCCTCTCATCCCCACCTTCCCCATTACCTCATCATGAACGTGATGCACCATCATTACTACAACATCATACTCATCATAACGATTACCAACATAAAGCCACAGCCTTCATTCATCTATTGTTTTATAATCATCGTCGTTAAAAACAGCGAGAGCATGCTATGTAAAATTATAATAACCGATACTTAAGAACAAGCTTGAACCACGTGGTGACAGTGGCAAGTGATTTCTAATTAATCCATGCAACGTCAATCAAATTAACTCACCTGTTTGGATCCAGAGGGAAGGAAAAGAAGGCCAAATCAGGGAAGTTAATTTTGGAATTGGTACAATTAATAGCACTACACCCCTTTGAAGTATGTACTGTATGTTTTGAATTCTTCATCAAAATCTTGACTAGAATGTTCTGACTCCATCTTTCATGTGTGGATGTGGGTATGACGTGATGATAAAGAAAGAGAACTGGTGTTTAAAACCTATTCAGACCAATCCCCTTACTTAATTTACTATGAATACCATGCAGGGATTAATCGTTTGGGAGAAACAGACTACTATAGTTGTACGGCATGAAACTTTCACCAGACGCCTGATCCATATCTCGCCTGAATCGAGATATGATGTGTCTTTACTTCTCTTGTCTCCGGTACAACAAAAGGTTCTTTACTGAATTACCATCAAGTACTAATCGTTGATTACAGTATTGCTTGACACTCTCTGAGTTTAATAATATTTACGGCAGAAGAGTGCTTGGTGTGCCCTATTTTGCCATTGTTACTTCAAAGTGAAATAATCTTCAAGTCTTCAATAGATCAAATTTGTCATTCTTTTTTTAATGAGAACGTTGGGATATGTGTGGATGTAATGGTCTGATGTTGTAAGCTTTGTTCAAATGCTGCAAAGCAGTTTGAAGATTCTTTGTTGTCAAGACCTAAAGGCTCTGGGTTTCACAGAGTTAGTTAGTTTTTTCTATCTGTATTTTGTTTTTGTCTGTCTTTCTTACTGCACTACATGGCTGCATAGCATTGATGTGCTTCTCTTTGCTCTATTTCAAAGGGTGTTAACTCCTACCCATATGTCCTTGGTCAAAGTGGAGCACCACTTTTGTCTAGAATGCTCATCATTTTTTATCCATGACGGCATTGCTCATTTGTCAAATTCTTTTTCAAAAATTGTCACTACCAGTAATACACTCATTGAAAAAAAAACATTTAGTAAAAAATACTAGAATTTAATTGACAAATCTAACTTCTGTTTGTGTGTGCGTGTTTTTGAAGAAGTAAAGGTAGCTGTCTTTATGTTGGTAGAATCTATTTGTTGACTTTGACAATTGTAGTTCTACATCCTATACCTGATATTGATCCCTGTTCGAGCTTTTCAGTCTATCTTTGTTCTATCTATAGATAAATGCTAATTCCTCCTTTGTGCTGAACAATGTAATTTTCCTCGCTGTTGTAAGAAAAACGTATCACTCCTGTAATTTTTGCTCACCCTGTAAGCTAAGGTCCAACAGAGTAATTGATTCATCTTTGTGACAGAGAGGTGACTTGACGCAAAACGAAACTCTAAACTTCTTTTTAAAGTCTGATATTACAAATGTATGTCTGTTTGAGATTTTTCTGGGTAAAAGTAAAACTTGTTTTAACAGTTCTTTTAACAGTTTGAACAAGATTAAGAATGCTCTTCTGTGTAAGATTGTTGACATGTGTGCTGACTTGCATTTTTGTTGTCTGTCCCAGTTCCCTCCCTGACCCAAAAGCACAGCGTTGCGGCAGAATACAACCAGCTCAACTCACTGGAGAACAAGCTGACACCGCTGACCTGCTAGACTCATGCCGACTGACCGCTGACCCTGCCCACTCCAGGCTGGAGACTGACTCTTGGCTTGTCATCAGCTGACCGTCCGGAGTTCTTCCCACACAGGGATTTACAATACATGTGTAGAGAGTGAGTCATGCGACACACACACACTGTGTGTTCACTCGAGTTTAGATGATTTGTTATTCTTTAGATGAGTTCAGGTATTTTATCATTCTTCAGTAGTTGTACACAAGAACTTTCAATTTGAAGTCACCAAATAGTTATGGTTTACATTGCTGTGGTAGGGAAGAATGTTGTAGTACTGAGGGTATAGGTGAATAAAACATGTTGGGAGTCAGCACTACGTTCCAAAATGTTTGTATTAAAGAAATTGCCGTTTCTTTTAAATGTCTCATTTTGAGCTACCAAGAGGATAAAAGTTTTCAGGATTTTTTGCATTGATCATCTTTGCTTTAAAGATCTCAATCATTGTTTTTAAGAGTTGTTTTGCTGAAGCATTGAAGGCTTTTCCTCGGGGGTGGGTTTTTTTTTGTTTTTGGATTTAAAAGTTTGCATGGAAAATGAAGGAATTCTTGATTGCATGAGTTTTCCATTACTTTCCTGGATCAGGTGGTCACAATAGCTTTGAGAGTTGGGCAGGTACACTAATCTTTTGTATCAAGCTGGATTTCTTTTGAGCAAAATAAAACATATTTCAGTTTGACTGAGGTGTAACATTTTTTTTTCTTGAACTGTGATAAGCACATCGCTGTCGTTTGAATCAAACTGTAACTAGGATGCACTGTGTTTCGTATCTTTGTCTTTCGGCTACCAAATGTGTGAAATTGTTCTGCAATTTTTTGTTACTACCTTTGTTAGTGCTTCTTGCTTCAAATGAAAACATTGACATTTTAATTTAGTAGAGTCCTGCTGCTCTACTATCAGTTCACTTCCTGCCTGCTTTTGAATCCGTGGATGTTGACAACCAATGACCTGATGATCTTTATATAAATGCAGAGTACACCCGTTGTCTGGTTGATCATGGGATAAAGGGATTACAGCTTGCTGCTGTGCCTTTCATGGGATGATTAAGGTTCCAGTAAGAGTACTTGTATAAAAGATATGAGAAGGCTTTTATTTTCAAAGAGGATGTTTTGTCAAACACTTTTTCTAGAGCCTACTTTCTGGTAGGGATATGTACTGTAAAAATGCTATATTTTATTATGTACATTGTGCCATTAGTGGCAGATTAAACTGTTGCAGAAACCAGCTCTATTCATATAACAGATTCTGCTATGTCCATCTCCTCCATCATCTGTTAAAGAATGACGTCTGCAGCTGTGCTTTTTCATCTGAGGTGTTCAAGGACTTCCATGAAAGAAAACAGTTGTGGGTTTAATTACAGACTTTGTGGAAGCACAAATAGCTGTTTTAGGAGTACCCACGTCTGTCTTTTGTCAGAATGTGGGTTTGATAAATGTGACAAGTCGTGGTGAAATCAGGCGCTCGTCAAAGTAATGAAATTGAAGAAACAGGCATTTTCCGCCAGTTTGGCAATATTTATCGAATTTTGTTTCTATGCTGAACACCTTTTATGTCAATGTAAATACACATTGTGAATTTTATTGAAAACTTCGTTTAAAGGCTCAAAATACGTCAATTTTTAGTTTTCAAAGACTTTCAACTATTGAAGTAATCAAACTTTGGTGGCCATTTTCTCTCTAATACTACCACCTCCTTTATTCACTAAGATCTCAACTTCTATTCAAGATAGATGGGTATGTTTTTTTTTCTTAGAAAGCAAGGCATATGAACAAGCTTTTGGTTGATTCCAGTAACTCCACATATCCAAAATTTGACGAGCGCCTGATTCCACCCCATCGTGACTCAAGTAATTTTAATATAAAGTTTTTGATAATACAGTTATTGATAAGATAATCTGACATGTTTGATTGAGCTAATTGATATACAAAAATTGCCAGGTTTGTCCTCTAATACTACTGTTCAATTTTGAAAATATGTAGGACTTGGATATGGAAATGCGAATGTGGTCTGGAACCTAATTTTTTTCCTTTGAAACATCTTACATTGAACAGTTTTTATCTATCAAGGAAAGCAAAAATTGCTTATTGAAGAAAAAAAAATTAATTATTAATTTAAAAAATTGTCTTTTTTTTTGTAGTGAATGACAGCACAGGTGTATTTTTACCTTGACAAGCTCAAAGCCCCGCCCCAGCTTGCGCACCCTGTACCCAATGACAACCTGTTCTTAACATCGAGGGTGATTCTAGTTTTTTTGGGGCTGTACAGTTCAAGTGCAAGACTCTCTGAAGGCTGGGGAGTCCAGGGATCAAAGGGTTTATTTGATTTCTGTTGAACTGGTAATTTCTCCCAACAATGCAATATTCTTTACAGCAGAGGTTTCTGCAGTATTGTATTTCGTCCTTTATTTCCCATATTTTCCCCTGGAGTAAAATGATTTTAGTAGCAGACTTTGACCCTTTGATCACAGAGCATAATCTTTGTTGTGTCCATATTAACCTTTTCACATTTCTGGAAAATGTAATTCTGGATGCATACCGTTATTGACGTCTGTTATCACTAGCAGGTATTTTGTGAAACGGCGACCGTTTTTTTGTTTTTGCTTTTTTTTTTTACCTGGAGGAGTGATTGTATCTCTTTTGTGAGGGACAGATGTGTTTGATTTCGTTTTGCCTCTCTGTTTTGTGTTCTCAACCTGTTGGTTGGAGAGTGTTGTCAGCAGCAGAATGTATTCAGTCGGTCTTTTTTCTGTTTTCTCTTATTTGTCTTGAGTTTATTCAGCTCTATAGGACAGTAATTGTGTCATTGTTATTGCATTTTATTAATGCAATCAGCAATTGTGTTCACAAATAATCTTTTGTGCATATTCAGTAGTAGATTTTGTATTTTTGCATCAATATGGATGGGAACGGCTGTCAGTTGTGCCATATCCAAATGCTGAGTGTATCTGGTCATTACAGGTGTTTTTCACTCAAGAGTTGCTTTCTGCTTGTTGAGGTCTATACTGGAGCAGTATCAGTTAAATCAGGCCAGTGCTGGCTCAGGTTGTAATGGTTAAAAATTTTGGTTCAACAACTTTAAGGTCTATTCAGATACTCATTCGTGCGTGGATTTTAGTGAAAATTGTTGATCAAAGGCCCATAAAATGTAAATTTTCAGTTTCTAAGCACACTCAATCTTTGACTTCAGGCAACCCACCTTCTTCTATTGCAAAATATCTCATCAAGGGAGACAGTTTTGTTTTTTTCATCAAAAGCAAGACAGATGAACAGGTACCTGATTCCACCATGTTGTGACACAAATTTTAACGAATGATAGTCCATTGCTTCAGGTGAGAGATTGGGCTTTTGCCTTTTCAGGCCGTATGACTTTCTCAGAGGAGAATGGGGTCAGGTAATGACATTTAGTTATGTTTTGATTCTGTTCAAAGAGGTAAAAATCCTTTCTCAGTTTTTAAATATATGGTGATCTGTTGAAATTATTCAACATGTTGCTTGAAGTTTTGAGATATGAATGGTTTGTTCCTGACTGAAGATCCTTTGTTTTGTCATCCAGCTTGCTTAGATGATTATATTATACTATGAAAACAAATTGATGATAGTTTGTCCAATATGGCTGACCTGGTTTGGAACTTTCCAGTTGAATTAATGCCTGAAGTTTTACTTTTCTTACTTAAAGATAAGTTGTTATTTCTAATGTTAAAAGTCATGGTATTAATAGCGATTGTCACTCTGAATGGGAAAGATTTTGGGCAGGACTTGTCTCTGTGCATAGCCTTATTAATATCTTTTTAAAGCGGATATTAGCAACTATGTCCTGTTTCTCTTTTGTTTTAGTTTTTGTTGTTGTTTTTTTCTCTGTGACAAGCATGATGGTTGATTGAATGATAAAGAAAGCGTTAAATGTGGTCATCAGTTTTATGTCATGTACTTTTGTCATTGTAATTACCCTTCTGTTGCGACAGGTCTGAGGATATTTGCATTTGTAAGGCCCATTTTATTTGTTGTGAAAATGCTCACTGTACATACCATCTCAGTTTATGAAATTGGAATAGCAGCCTCTAGTATTGAGTCTCAAAAACAGTGCTGCCTGCATCACTGCCAGAAAGTAGTCACCCTGTTTGCATAAGCTTTCAGACTTCTGTTTGGAATCCGATTGAATTGAGATGAGAGCGGACATGGGAGAGAGGGTAGCTGCTGGCAGGATCCAAATTAAAAGTTGTGGCAATGTGTACTTCGATACATAAGTTTAACTTGTATATTTGTAACATGGAGAATAATACATAACCTTTGTATAATTAATATATTTGGGTTTATTAAATGTTTTTATTATTATTATTTGTATTACACATTCCCATTCCTTTCAAGGGCAATTGAAAAATCAGGTCTCTCTCCCACTCTTATTGTCTTTTGCTTCTTTCATCTTATGTTTTTTTAAATTAAATTTTTCCTCGTATGTTTCTAACTTTTCCTCAGTCTTCCTTTGTATCCACCTGTCTGTCTCTCTCTGTCCTGCCACTTGTTCATGCTTAATGTTTTATATTTTTTAATGATTAATTTCTAATATTTTTTTTTTTAAGTCAATAAAAATATTACATTTGCATTGCTACTTTGATTGAAATGCTTTTCATGTTCTTTGATCTGTGGCTTATATTTGTTTCTTTTGTTACAAATACTGACTCACCAGGGGTTTTGAATATTGCTGTCCATATTCATACACAAATGTATCTTTCCAATAAATATACGAAGGGAATACTAAAAGTTTTTACCTGACCATGAAGGAATAAAAGTAGAAAACTGAAATTTGGTACTAACTTTAATCTTTCTCTTTGTAGTCGCCTCCTACAGTTATACAAATTTTACCATTGGTTTATAACCTTGAAAAGACCTTGAGAATAGAAGACCCTCTCTTTGTCAGAAAACCAGGTTAACACAAGTTTCTTGATTTTCAACAGTTTCTCTTCTGTTGTTGCTGTCAATGGGCGACCATCATGGTGGTCATCTGTCCATGAATCCACATTTGAATTTTTTACACCGCATTGTTATCACAGCATAGGATGGGCAATCAGTTCCTTATACAGCATGCATCTCCGTAAAATTATCCTGTAGTTGCTTGCCTTGCAAGAACAAAAACTTCATTACTACCCTATGCTCAATTTTCTCCTTTTTTATTTTGAAACTGGAGACAACATACCCCCATTCACTTACAGTGAACTGGTTTTAAAACAATAATTCAAAATTCCCCAAAATTCACATGTATTGTGATGATTGTGGTCTTTCACCTCAAATTTCAGCTCTCTACCTTTATTTCTTCATGGTCGGGTAAAAAGACTTTTGGTATGCACCTCGTACACTTTTGTGGAGAAGATGAAGAGCAAACCATATTGTCAGTTGGAATAAGCACTACTGGGACTGGCAAAGTGTGGGATATTAATTGTAGTCCTTTATTTCATGTGATGCAAGTGTGGTCTGCTTTCTTTTTTTAGCGGTACTTTTCCGCTGGTTGAATGGAAAAGCAAATATCTGCACTTGTTGGTCAGATTGATTTGTTAAAAGATTCTGTTAAGTGACAATCCACAAATCTTTCAAACTTCTCTGGGTACTGATATCTTTTTGTTTAACAAACATGTGCATATTATTGAGATTGGACAATTTGAGTTGAAGTTACAATTTTAAAAGTTTGTTTTCCCCTATTTTATAGTAATTCATGATTAAAATGTTTTTCCTTTCTGGTGCTAAGTTTTTTCCATGCAAAAAGCAGTACTGTTCTCACCTGTTCTACTCTTGGAGCCATTACTGTGCTCAGCCTCTCATTGAAATTTATAGTTAAAGAAGAACAGTATTTCTAATTACGTCAATTTAGGGGGGTTAAAAGGGGGGGGGGGGTTCACTTATTTTGGTTCTTTTCATTTATTTTGTAAAACATGATTTAGAGGATGTTGGAAGATTCATAGACATATCAGATAGTGGAATAGAAGGTTTGGAGATGAGACAGTGAAGTCTTATGTCTTGCAGATTTTAAATGAGTCCTTCATTTTCACAGATTTTATCTTTCACTGGCTTGTTTCAGTTTGCACTTTTCTGTCAAATACCCTATTTGAAAGATATTATTTATTTGATCATGTCAGTGTGTCTGGGAAACCAGCTAGATATGTGCCTCTGCTTTGATTTTTATTTGCCTTTCCGATCTCTTTATGATTACCAGGTGTGAGTTGCTCATTGATTTTTGATAATTCCTTGCTGACTGAGCTCTTGTTTGTGGCCTGAGTTCACATAATACTTTTATAGTCCACATATATTTGAATTTTTTAATGAAGTTAAAAAAAAAGGAACCAGATGTCAATGATGAAGCCATATTCATTGCTCTAAGCTTATATTGGTGATAAATATATTATTGTAATAATTATTATTGCCTCTTCACCTTGACACCTTTCAAAAAAATACTTTCATGCATGTTTTATTATAGACGTTATCGTCACATCTAGTTTGAAAAATTATGGAAACAATTTGATCAGTGGCCTGTGCCTTGCAAAACTTTTCTTGTGTTCAGTTAGGTGTCTCCGTAAAAAGAATGACCAGCAAGTGTCTGTAGGGTGAAGCTATTCTTGAAAAAGAAAATAAGGTTCACCTTAAATGAGTTGCCATGCCGGCAAATACAATGAGTGTAAAGTAGCGTTCTTGAACTTCGGGTGTTCTGGGAGTATTAAAGGCTCTCCGCCTACTTGGCCTGGTCCTATCTGAGATAAAAATGATGTTTGGAGGTCCTGCCTTTTAAATAACTAAGCAGTGTTGTAGAAAGTGTTATATCCAGGCTATTATGACATTAACACGAGAGGTAACGTGGACTGAAATCAAATATTTTAATTTGCTTGTATAAACAGCCCATTGTTGAATGCATCTGGTACTCGGTACATGTTCTGCATGTGTTGCAATTTGAAAAGCATTGTTTGAAAACAGTAATATATAAGTTACCTTTTTATCTTGGAATGAACTTTTCTATTGTGCATGCTGCAGCTGATGTATTCCTTTGGTGCTGGGGTATGTTGTGTTGCTTACGTATTACAATTATTTTTGGATGCAGACCACTTTTGTTTGGAGCCTTCCTTGTGACCTCTGTTGTTTGTAGATCAGACATGATAATCTCACAAACTCCCTTCACAATGCAAAGTCCAGTATTATTTTGATCTAAGTTCCTCTTAGGCTGGAGGGAACGATAAGAGACGAATGTGAAAGAGTAAGTGGGTCATATTTCTTAGGTAGTTTAATGAATAGAAGATGATAAGTCAGATAAGCCAAAGGATCAGATTCTTACAGTGCAGTGTAGATGAGACAAGTGCCAATTTTTTTCCTATTGTTCTACACTTATAATGTGTGTCACTTTATGGTACTTGTTTATATTATATCATTGTAAACTAGTTGTGGATTTTTATCTCACTGCTTTCATTTGTCACAGGACTGGGAAAAAAATGTTACAATGCAATATTGATGTTTATTTCCTTTAATCATGTTTTATATGCCATTCCACGTCGTAATATTAAACAAGTTTTTATTTGGGAAGATAATTTGTTTTGTTTTTAATTTTTTCATTCATGACTTGTCATCTGGCTAGTATTCTGTGCTGTCTGAGATTGGTTCTTTAAATCTTTCTGTGCCAATCCACTATTAATTGTTGATGACAAGGGTCACATAACTTTTTATCGAGCATCTCGGTCTTTCTCTTGGCTTGATGGATCCCATTTTCGCCTAGATTGGCCCTGACAGTGACAGGCATGGCCGGAAGCCCCGCTTCTTAAAAAATGTAAATTGTTTTGATGGGTTCGTAAAAACACCTACCTTTTAAAAAAGTAGTCTCTTCATTATGTGCTCGCTGAAGACGATGGCGTTAAAGGCCTAGTGGTTAGGCTATCCGACTCGCGACGTTGTGTCCCTGGGAAAGGTATTTCTGCACTATACAAATGCTATATATGATTTATTATTAATCCTATATCTGTATTGCCTGTATGACTAAGTTATTTTTTAATGTCTTCATCCGCCTGCTTGAATGTAGTATCCCACGCAGCCATGTCTTGTAGGGTCGGAGCTGCTCGCCGTTTAAATGATCTTAAGTTTGTGGTTGGTTGCGTGAAACAATACAATCATTTTTGGGACCCAGAGTTTTGTTGTGGAGTGGAGAGTACAATGACGTGTCTCCTGTATTTGGGGGGGGGGGGGGGGGGTAAGTGTTTTACGGCGCTCGCAACTGCATGAGGTCATAATATGAGTGCGCGGGACACACCAAATATTTTAAGTTTGTAGGAAATTTCGAATTTTGCCTGGACGGTGGCCAAAGCCTACCCTTATCGATTTTAGACCACCAAGGGATCTTTAACGTGCACAACTTGCACTCGGGCCTTCAGAGATTTTTCACCCTTGTCCGAGAAGGCTAGGTGTAGATCTTTCCTACCTGAAGATCAGGGGTGTAGCTGAAAGACAGCAGTAAGGAGCCAAGGAGTAGCAGTAGAAAGGCTGCAGAAAGAGTCAAGAGCCCAGAGAAGGGGGCAGAAAGAGGGGACGAAAGCAGACGACAGAACATTGCTAGAGATTAGGAAAGGAGGTGAAAGGAGACATTTTAGAGAAGAAAATTTTTCGGTTGCTACCCGGATTCGAACCTGGGACCTTTGAATGAGTGGCCAACACCTTAAGCCACGAGAGCCCCCTGTCTCATGTCTACTAATAGCGCATTTGACAAAGTAGACTAAGACGAAACCGAAAGGGAAAAGCTGGGGAAAAAACCGTTTGAAAAAAAAAAAGTAAAAGTATGAGTATTATATTATCCACATGCTTTTACCGTTTATGTTATTAAAAGTAAAGCATCATGTGACAATAGAACACACAAACTACAAGCTTTGCGTTAGTGATGAGAAGTCAGGGTTTTAGTTGTGGGTTTTTTTACGTGTAGTACAGTACACTGTTTACTACTGTTCCACAACTCGTAATCCTCAAATCGGCAGTAGCGTTCATACGCGTAATTCGGATCTGGTTGTGTTTTGGCTTCAAAACAAATAAATTCACCGCACTGACGAAATTAATTAAGTAGAGTTTCGTAGTAGTATTGTTTTTGTCTTGCAGTCGGCAGTGACATACACACGCATTCCAATCACACTGAAATTGATTAACATTGCAGAAGTGCAGTGGTACCGCGTTTTGTAACAGCCAAAATGCCTTCCTACGTGAGGACCCCCCCCAAACCACCTCTGTTGTTCTCGTAGTAGTGGTAGTTGGTCAGTCTCTTTAAAAAAGCAGTCTTTTTTCTGTCTCTTCCTGCTCATAAATACACTGTTGTTGTTAGTTAAAAGCTTAACTCGCACAAAAAAGTCAAGGAGCAAAAAGAAAGATAACTGAAAAACTTTAAAACCGAATTTATTCATTTTTTCCAAAATAAAGATGCTTTCGGCTCTAGATTATGTGTGTACAATTTTAGATTTCAACAACAACGAGAAGTTCATGAAAAATGAGCTTAAATTACCCTGGTCAGATTTAAAAAGTCTGAACAGCCATGGTTCTTCATGAACATTGTCAATAGTGCGTGTAGCCACCATGGTTGATCAAACACTCGGTACATCGTCATGGGCAGGACATACCTTCGGAGAACTTGTTGCAGTAGGTTCTGCCACTCCTGGACAAGGTAGCTCAAGAGTTGTTGACGGTTTTGTGCAGCGGGGTGATTGTCCCAGTCAATGTGATCCCAGATTGTCCAAGCTGCTGCAGGAGAGGAACAGAAAGGTACCCTGCCGCAGTCAAATTGCCCTGTATAATCTATGCTACCGGGGGGTTCGTGGTGATCTGAGAAGCCTTCCCACCCCAGAACGGACCCTCCACCGTAGGGCGCCACTTGTTGGATGCAGTCAGTATGGAACCGCTCTCCTCGGCGCCTCCAGACGTAGGCTCGCCAGTCTGGGAGCAGCAGATTGAATCTGGATTCGTTCGAGAAGACTACCTGGTCCCACTGACGTCGTGTCCACTGTGAATGGCGAACTGCTCTGTGGGGCAGCGTGTGCCTTGGGCGCCTGGCAGAGGCACGAAAAGCGAACCTGGCTCAACGGAGACGATTCCTCACTGTCTCCTCGTTCACGTGGACATTGGCTGTCACCCGCAGTTGGCCCCTGGTGCGGTTTGCAGTGGTGGTTGTCTGAGAATAAACCGATCGAACCTGTCGTTGGTCCAACGGGGCCATCCTGGTCGAGGCTTGCCCTGGACCCTCCTGGTCGCTCGCCATCATTCTTGCAGCCTCCATATAACTGATGGGGACACCCCTAGTCGACGTGCAACGACTCGGAACGTGGAGCCATCTTGGAGACAGGCAAGGGCTCGTCCTCTATTGACACCAGGCAGCGAGCGTCGTTGGACCATCGTGTTGTAATGAAACGTGGCTGAAAAACGCTGGCTTATATATTGTCGATTTTCAGCACAAGGGGGCTATCCCGTAAATGTTGTTTTGAGAAAATCGAAGGTAAGGTTTTTGGATCCCTGTTCAGTTTCTTTAAAAGACAAGGATACTTTTTTTTAAAACAAACAAATATACAAACCAATGAAACCAGACGTCTCCAATACGTAGGGCAATGCCCACTTTTTGTGTAGGTCATTATTTCTAGAAACCCCCGAAGTCTGGGTGAGCCCGCGTGTCCTTAAAAGCGACCATTTAGTGTTGCAAGTGAGCGATATTCACAGCCAAGACATCTGTTTATCATGTACCAAGCTCAGTTTTAGCCACCAGCCCCTTTGCCAATGTTGCTGGGGCCGAGAAATTTAGCCCATTTTTCATGCTTTTCGGCTGTTTTGGCATGCTCCGCATCGCCACTGTTGTGTTAAGCTCGGGTGGGTAAATTTGCTGTACATGCAAACTGTGTTTTGTTGTCAGTGCGTGTACCAGGTTTGGTTGACTGAACTTAACAGGTTTGCGAGATATTGAAGTTAAGATTTGACAGGTGAAAACTCAAGTTGTTCCTTGACTTTTTTGTGCGAGTTTACCTCGTAATATGTTGAACATGGTTGGGCTCATACTCGTGGATGCAATTTGTTGTAGTCGTCAGTGAAGGTCAGTTCTATTTTCTGTAGCCGACTGAGAATTTGAAGTTGTACATGTAGTTTTAAACTTTTTCCGCGCAATTAGTCCTTGGTCTTTGATATGGTGAATAGACACTGTTTGACTTGAAACGTCGCTTATCTGCCATGTTGAGCTGTACTTTCGCACACACCAGGCATGTGTTCACTGGGTTCACACTGGGCTAAGGTGCGGGTGGCCTTGTTGCGAACTCCCCATGATGATCTTGGCTCGGACCTGTCAGACTGGGAAGTCTGAATAGCCTCTCAAAAACGTGTACCGGATGTGAAGCGAACAGGCAATTCGACCTTGCCCTTCCAATGTTTCTACGATCTGGCCAAAATTTTCGACTCACCGCAAACGTCCCAATTCGGTTCAAAATTATGGATTTTGAGTTGTGAGCATTTTTGGCTTCTTCAGCCTCTCTTACAACTATGTCATAGCATTAGAGCCCACTAAAGCGTCATTTCTTCCCATACCGGGCATCTTTGTCACCACCATTTCCTCATGAAATCAATCTTTTATTCTTTTTTATCTCCCGTTTTCTCAAAACGCGGTTTTCTGTATATACTTTTTGAAATAATCCACTATTTTTAATCCAATCTTCATGAAATTTTCAAAGTGAAGAGAAGATCTAATACAAAAAATCTGTGTGTTGAATTTTTGATCTATTGAATAGTTTTTTGTTGGTTGTGTCTGGAGTGTGGATTTTCAGGGATTTTTTGCAAACTTGAATACGACCTCAGGAAAATATTCATAAAAATTTGTCTAATCCGTTTGGGAAAAATTCAACAGACAAAATTGTAGATCTAATGTTTGTTAACATGCATGCATGCAAAAAAAAAAGTATTATTTCCATGGAAAATAAGTGAGGCATTCATTCCGTAAGACATGTCAATAAAATCCAATATGGCCGCCGTTGCCATGGAAACGAAACTTTCTTTCTCAAATTTGATTGCGGATTTTAAGACTCCTTACTATGCTTGTTTTATGTGTGACATTTGGTAACATTTTCTCCCCTAATAAGCGAGATAGCCTTCAGGTGAAGCCCCCCCCCCCCTTTTAAGAAAAGTAATAGTTGCGTCAAAAGTGAACTACAGTTGCAAAATCTGAAATACTTCACAACTAGGGTAAAAAGGAAACGGCAATCTGAGCTCAAAGCAGTGAAAAAAATTGAAAATCAAAGTAGTTTCAGAACAACAAAGGATTATAACTATCAATAAATAGGTAGTCTAAACCCGCTTTATTTAACGAGAAAGACAAAATCATTGATGAATTGGAAATCCAGTTAGAAATTAAGAAGAGAAAAGTTAAAACCTTTCCAAAGGAAACAAAAGTCAGTCATTCAAAGTAACGCGAATTGGAGTTTGAGCCCGAATAGCCACAGGAGGCTATTCGGACTCGAGTCGCAATAGCCACTTCGTAAATTCGGAAAGTCCTGGCTCTTGAATAACATCAACGCATTGAAACGTGATTTCAGTGTAACAAACACCCATACCACGACAACATAATTCAACTTACGTAGATTAGTTGGCGTTTTGTGGTTGCCCTGATGTGTCTCCATGTACTCTTACGGCAATTAAAAAAATTCACAAGCTTTTGTTTGACTATAGCCCAAATCTGCTTCTTGACTAAAGTTGCCGTTTGTAACAGACTTGAAATAAATCAAAGCTCAGCTCAACCTTGTACACAACAATTGAGCAAACTTTCGTACGTCAGTCACTCTGCTGTCACTATCACAAGGGAGGATTGACAGGGGGCGGGGCTTCAACAGGCCGGTCCTGAGAAGGCGGGGCTACAGATATTCGACTTGGACCTGGAGCGCGTTGGCTTGGGTTGGCCGAGACTGGAGCGGACACCGACGCAGAGAGGCAGCGGTAGAAAGTGGTGTAGTCGGCGGCGTCGGGACTGATGCGTCGCTGTTCCTCGAAGCACATCAGGGATTTCTCCGTCTGGATAGCTGGCGAAAAGGGAGAAGGTCATTTTACACCACATTATTATGCACACTAAATTAAAAGTGGGAGAGTCCGCGATCTGTGAATGTGGACACGATGAAGAGGATGCCAACCATTATTCTTCAGCACTGCCCGCGCTACGCCACCCTTCATACACAGACGTGGCAGAATGTGACTCCCCTTGAGAGAAAACTATGGCAGTCTCTCAGGTTTGAAGCTGACTGCACTGTTTGTGCGCGATATCGGACGGACGGTCTAGCTGCTGTCATCGAGAACGAGGAAGAAGAAGAAGAAATTTTAGTTTTACTTGTTCCAATAGAAATTATATGTCACGATCCGGTGCTCTAGGTAAAAATAACACATTTTTAATATTGTTTCCCATATCCAAACGTGCCACATCACATTGCGGACTCAAATCTTTTGTTTGAACTCCGGTCCTGGGTAAAATTCGTTTAGATCTAACAGTTTTAGTCCCTTTTATATCATGTGTGTACTAGATCTAGATCTAGTCAGCGCCATTTTCCGAGTCGACGGCTTCGAAGATCTACTTTACCAATGAGCATCCCTTCTTATTCAAAGAAAAACAACGTGTTTCCTGGCGCATTACAAAACTGTTGCTATCACTTATCACACCCGCACGCTTTTATGCACTACTTGTGGTATAAGGGCCAAACCGACGTATTTTTGGGTTGCCGAACCAAAATGTGGCTACTACCGTCACAAACCATTAGCTTTCCAGAAGTCAGAGAGGGGGTGGGGTGGGGGTTGACCTCCCCTCCCAGAAAGAACTATTTGCAAGCCAGATTGCATTACATTTCATAACACAAACACATATCAAACCCTTTTAAAATTTTTGGGGAACCCACAACGGGGGGGGGGGGGGGGGGGGGGGAGGGCAATGCACCTCTGAAATCCATCAGTTACTTGGTCGCTTTGCTTTTGTCAAGCACGAAATAATCACATTACGCTTAACACTTTTAGTTTGTTTTTAAAACGTATAGATTTACATATCTAGCATCTGCGTTTGTTGCCCTTTTTTGTACAAAAGTTGCCATAAAAAAGGCAAAAGTTGCTATAAAAGTTGCCGTTAACTTTCAACTCTCTGTGACGACAGCAGTATGTTGAAAGAGGTAACTTTATCTGAAGCACCAGAATTTCTTATGCTCTGTTCTCTAGCATTCAGAATACCATTTGTGGTCCCACAAAGTGTAAAAACGTGAAAAATAAAGGTTTCACAAAGGTATGAAATCAAAATTAGAAAAGCACATAAACAACCACAAAAATTGGCAAATTAGGGCGTGTATCCACCTATCCGAAGACAGGCCGTTTTAACCCTAAACGTTCGGTGGATCGATAACAACAACCTTAAACGTTCTCATTTGAAGAAAAGTACAGTATATTACATGTAAATTATGGAATCACACACAAGGGGCGGTTTTGGAAGAGACACGCTCTAACATAACACATTATTTTTAAAAAGGTAGGAACAATATCAAATTAAATGAGATTACGCTATATAAACACACATATACATAAAAATGGAAAAACAACACATCTGAACACGCGGAAAAAAGTAACACACATGAATAAATAGTATGTACTGTACTCAATTTCTTCACAAGAAAATAACAAATCAACTTGGTGTCAACAAGTGAGAAAGAGACGAAGTGAAGCGGAGCTGATAAACTTTCTTTCTAAAAGTAAAGACGTTCGGTTTCTTTTCTTTTCTTTTTTTTTTTTTTGGTTAGGATTTATTTAAAAGATTGGGTTTATGTTCCACCGCTACCCACTAGCCTCTCGAATAACACCAGCGATCAACTCAGTGGACTGCAATATGCTGAAGGGAAGCACCATTCCCAGTGACACTGGAGATAGGCCCAGAAACTATTCCCAGTGACAGGCCCAGAAACCTCTGGCAATTGGGCCTAGGGCAGAATAGTTCCGACTGTCACTGGGAATAGGCTCAGAAACTATTCCCAGTGACACTGAAAACAGACAGGCCCATTAGATCTATTGTTTCCACACTGATCTACATGGGCATGATGGTGATGGGTTACTAAATACACTAGACTATATCTAACGTAGATCTAGATCTAGATTCTAGCTAGATACTAGATCTAGATCTAACTAAAGTAGATTCTAATTCTAGTGTGAGTGGAAGAAAAGGGAATCATCATTCTATGCTTGCTTGTTATTTTGGCGTAATTTATGTACGTGTTGATCCAGATAGGCCGCTACGGATTTTGGAGATCACGGTACAGGACAGGTAGAAATCCTTCCCGATTCTTTTTTCTTCTAGATCTAGATCTAGATCTAGTTCTAGATCTATTCTACGGTCAAACCTAAGCCCTAAGCAGATGTAGGCTACATTATAGCAAAGATAGTACAAAACAAGATGGACCATTCAGCCCAAAAGTGTCCGCCGGAAGTTCGCTCTTTGCTTCAGATGGCGTTGCAGTCTGTTTTGAAGCTCTCTTTCGTTTTTCCAGACGAAGTATATGAAAAGCACCTCCTTGCGTGCGCAGATCGACTGCAGTTCGGGTACGTTCAGTGCGGAGATTTAGGGTTTTTAAAATTTTAATGACCTCTCGCCTTTCATTCTAAAGTCAAATTAAAGGAAGAAAACAATCACCCTTCCCCCCGGAAGAGGTTTTTTGTCAGCGTAACCATTAAAAAAGCGTTCTTCCGAAATTTATTCCAAAATTTGCTAGTTTCACTTTGATTTTTTAAAACCCAAGTAGGGTAACTGTTTGCAAAGGGTGCGCTTTTGCGAAGAGGGCGCCACCGAATTTTGAGGGCACTTTTTTAATTGGCTCAAAGAGAGAAGTGGCCCCTCTTGTTATGTAGACTCTTTGACTATAGGCACTAAAAGGGGTGAGAAGAGAACAAAAGTACCGAACTGAAATGAGAAGAGAGTCTACAGTATAAAGACTTCTGATTTTTTAAAATATGCAAAAGAGTTCCGTTGTTACTGGGAATAGTGTCTCTACCTATCCCTAGTGTCACTGGGAATAGTCACTTTGTATGCTGAAACGCGTCGTGGGTGAATTCTCTTTTAAATGGCATTGATGTTGCCTTCGCTGCTGATGGTGGCCACACTGACGTTTGTAAGACAGGAAATAAAAGATGATGTACAGTGCGTGTGAGTTTCCTGTTGATTTTCTTTATTACCTTATTGCGTAATGAAATCGGTTCATTCTCCTGGAATATAGTTCAAACAAAAATGTCAATATCTCTCAAAAACTTATTTTGATCTGAGACGAATATGAAGTCGAAATTCGTATAAAACAGAAACTGACGTGAAAGGAAAAAAAATACAGTGATTGAACTTACGTTATAGTCATGACGCAATGAATGTTAAAAAAAAGTTGAGGGAGCAGTAAGAGAAAGAAAGAGATAGAGAGAGAGGGGGGGGGGAAGAGAGAGAAAGAGAGGGAGAGAGAGAGAGGGGGGGGGGGAGGGAGGGAGGTATATATATATATATATATATTTATATTTCCCCTCAACCCAATGTCCTGGCGGAATATCAGCAACAACAATAGCGACGAAAGCAATTACAACAACAAAAATACCGATGACAGCAGCAACAACAACACAAAAACAACATAAAAATGACAGCAACAACAACTTGAACAACAACCTATTTTCCTAATCTCCTACCCTTCCTTCATTTCATTCCCTCCCTTCTCCACCTATTCCTCCTTCTCTCTTTCCTCCTCTCCCTCCTTCTCCTCGTCCTCGTCCTCCTCCTCGTCCTCCTCGTCCTCCTCCTCCTCGTCCTCCTCCTCCTCCTCCTCCTCCTCCTCCTCCTCCTCCTCCTCCTCCTCCTCCTCCTTCTTCTTCTTCTTCTTCTTCTTCTTCTTCTTCTTCTTCTTCTTCTTCTTCTTCTTCTTCTTCTTCTTCTTCTTCTTCTTCTTCTTCTTCTTCTTCTTCTTCTTCTTCTTCTTCTTCTTCTTCTTCTTGTCCTCCACCTCCTCCTCCTCCTTATCATCATTATCACCAGCAAGAACAGCAACAACAAGGACAACAAGTAACTATTGTCACCAGCTTACTAGTGTGAGTGGGCAGGCTGTTCTTGACCTCTGTGTGCGCCCGGCGGAGATGACCATAGACCCGGAAGTTTTCCACCTCAAAGTTGACCCCTGGCCTGGGCCCAGGATTGAGGTAGGCCATGCTATCGTCACGCCGTTGTCGGCTGCTCTCCCTGTGACCGCTTGTCTTGCCGTGACGTCTCTGTTGCCAGAAGGACAGTTGCCACCTCTGAGGGGAGAAATACAGTCGAACCTGCTCTTTAACGGCAACGTGTGAAGGCAACCACCTGTACAGATGGCCACTTTCCATCTCCACTCTAGCGTTTTTTAGGATTCTAATTACGTTGTGTAAGTCGTCCACTTGTGTAAGACGGCCAGTTTCCTCCTCGGCCATGGGTCACCGTCTTAGACAGTTTTGACGGTACATGTATTATGTTGGTACTTGACCTACTATACCCCCTCTAATTGATCTTTATTGTGTATGTTGCGGCAACGGAAGCATAAAACCATTTTTCTTAAAATCAAGGCGGTCGAACCTGTGTACGCATGAGAACGCTTTCGATCGTGAGACAATGTTACTTATGCCCAGACCTACTTACTCATTGCTAGAAAATAGGGCTGTACTGTAAGTATCGGGGGGTTTTTTGTTACCACTAGTAAAGTATAAAAAGGCCCTTCGTTCCAGGGATAGGTGCCTTTCAATATGACGTTACAGCTTCGAAAATGATATTAGCCCAAATGAAAACAAAAAATCTTAGTTTCAAAATCTCAAAGTCCAACTCTCGGGGAGTCAAAAATTATGCTTAATTAAAGTCTGTATTTTTTTCTTCAGCTTTACGGCATGTGGTATAAAGAAAAATTCAAAATTTACCTATTTTCTTTAAGAGATAATGCTCACAATTAGTGATACTATACCCGCACGTTTGGGGCAGTGAGCATGTTTTCCTCATTCGGAAAGCACATTCGTCCAGACGAAGTTTTGTGAAGAACCAACTCCGGTAAAATATTCCCTGGCGGGACAACAGGGTAACGGAGTGGCCGGGACATACGAAACAGCTTTACTGCTCGGATTCCGTGCGAGATATTATCCTCTTCACTAGTGCGGCGCTATAACCATTCTCCATAGATGACTGTGTGAGAAATCAATGATCAAATTCAACAAATACTATGATAGTTGATAGGTCTACCTAAAGTTCTTCCCATCCTGAACAATTATTTTGAGCCGAATCTACGTTTACTATAGTTTTTTTCTTTGATAGGAAATACCTAGATAAACATGAACGTGCTAAAACCAGCCCATGTAAGCTTAAGTGCTTTAGATAGAAAAAAAAGGAGAGAGGGGGGGGGGGGGTAAATACTTGGCTGCTGTGAGTTGTCAAATTTACAATGTATACTTATAGAAAGTATGCAAAATGTCGGAAAATCATTATAATAATGTTGGTGAATACCATAACTCAGCTCGAAAACGAAAAGTTTTTAGAGTGCTGTACAGGTCCCGTGTGCCCTGATACGAAGTAAACAAAGCCAGCCTCATCTCACGCATTACACTCACTTGACAAAACAAATGGTGTATTGGGACCCGAGTGCCCAAGGGAAACTATCAAAACCGCGCACTTTCGAAAAAAAACAACAACAACAACTATCAAAGTCACGCACTGTCAGAGCCGCGCACTTTTTGACGATATCGCTACAATTAGATGGTCAACTCTATCCAATAGTTGCAGTAGTGCTCTTGACAAAATTGCATTGTACTTTGTACTATTTCCATAAAATTCAATGCCATGAAAACTACTTTCCAGTTGAATCAAATGATAGAGTGAATGAGGTGTGTTTGTTTCGTACCATATAAAAATACAACTAGTTTTCAAATCTTCGACGTTTGTACGTCTTGTATTGAAAATCATTTAGGGATATTTTTCTTTCAGTTGGTATAAGACTATAAGACTAATAAGAGTACGGCGAGTGTGCCAAAATGACAATTACTTAGACAATAATAGTGATGACGACAGATGGAATATGTATCAGCGGTGTCATTGATATAAAAAGAAGATGCAGGTCCCTAGCCCAGTAGAACGCAAAGGAGAATTGGAACTGGATGGTACTGGTTTTTGTAATTGGCAATCTACTTGTATCGAATTTGTCAAACAGTGTGCGGCTCTAATAGCGTGCGGCTTTTAATAGTTTTTCTTCGAAAGGGCGCGGCTCTGAAGTTCTCCAGTGCCCGAGCACAGAAAAGCTTTTATTGCGTTTGAAGATTGTTTCAGTTTTTAGCCCCCTCCCTCTTTTTTTTTTTTTTTTTGGGGGGGGGGGGGGTACAATTTAGATCTTTATGAGGCGGACTGCTTCAACCCTGTCTATCTGGGTCATCCCCGTAGACAGACGGAGGTAGCCTCCTGGTTAATTCACAAGCGACGGCTACGAGTACAGTTCACCGACAGCACGATGCGCAAGGCCTGAATCCGCACTATTCCTGCTGTTTTAAATCTTTTAAGTCCAAAAAGCTACATTGTCTATACGACAGGGAAGGGCTGACAAAATGGAAGAAATTTGAAAAGAACAATTGTGCTCCTCTCTAAATGTAAAATAAATGGCAAATCAAATCCAACACAAGCAGTCTTATTTCCTGTTGTGCCTGTTTCACTTTTAAAGTTTTGTTTCCGTAAACAATACGTGGCCGGAAGAAAACGTATTACACTATAGAGAAGTGGAAGGACAACACGACAGTGCACGACACAGGCAACAGTTAGGCAACCCCCCCCCCCCAAAAAAAAAACAAACCAACAACAACAAAAAAACACAAAAAACAAACCACCAGGCGGGTTTTATAGGGGAGGGGGAAGGGGTAACCTTCACTTTTACCTTACTGGACTAATGTACATACCCACACTACAGCGGTAACGAACCCTTTGGTGTTGCCACTAAAGGTCGATTCCTACCTGATTTATTAAGGGGCTTTATTTACTATGGTATATCGTGGTTGTGATCAGTGAGATTTGTCTTCAAGCCCAACCAGATCTTTTAAAACATACTGTCCGCGTGGTTTTATGCGACCCGCTTGATTTAGCAAAATTTGATTATTTTTTGCGTAATTTCTGATTATTTCCCTTCATCATTCTTTGTTAAAATGAACAGAATCGCATAATTTCACATTTTTTAAGCTCAGCATAATTTCAGATATTTTTTGCGTAAAACCACGGGGACAGAACATATTATATCAATTTATATGATGACTGTTTTTTTTCCAAAGCTTTGAAGAAATGCCCATACCAAGTTAATAATATTGATGTACTTTATTCCTACTTAAAATACACCAAGATAAAATAAGTTAAAAATACATTTTTATTGTCCAGACCCTGGAACATTGGTTTGGTGTTTCAAAAGTGTGTCCGTGTGTGTGTGTGTGTGTGTGTGTGTGTGTGTGTGTGTGTGTGTGTGTGTGCATAAATATTATACTGCTTGAGAAGAAATATAAACTATTATATTCTGGGAGGGAAGACAAGCACCATACGGAGGGAGTCGGAATTATTTTGAGTAAGTATGCGAAGAAGTCACTTAGAGGATGGGAACCACACGGGGAGAGGATCATCATGGCTTCTTTCACTACCAGAAGTAAGAGCATCAACATGAACATAGTACAGATCTGCGGCCCCAACAAACGATGCTTCGGGTGATGACAAGGATGCTTTTTTACAGCCGGCTCCAGGGGGTCATCGAGAAACTACCAAGGAAAGATGTCAACATCATAATGGGAGATGTTAATGCCAAGATTGGTCAGGACAACGTAGGTTACGAGGGAATCATGGGACAACATGGCCTGGGACAAATGAATGAGAACGGTGAGCGATTTGCAAATCTCTGTGCTTTCAACAGTCTTGTCATCGGAGGCTCTGTTTTCCCCATAAGAGGATCCACAAGGCTACTTGGGTATCACCGGATGGAGTGACAGAGAACCAGATTGATCATTTTTGTATCTCTCGTAGGTTCAGGCGTTCACTGGAAGATGTCAAAGTACAGAGAGGGGCAGACGTTGGATCGGATCACCATCTGCTGTTAGCGAAACTCAAGCTTCGTCTAAAAAAGCATGGAGCCAGAACAGGAATGAAAAGAATGAAGTTCCAAGTAAGTCTTTTAGATGGACACAAGAAACAGGAGTTTCAACTGCAGTTGAAGAACAGATTTCAACCCTTGGCGGATGTTGGTGAGGAAGACATGGAGGTGGATACACACTGGACCAAGGTTAAATAAGTCTTTACATCAACATGTCAAGAAGTACTCGGTGTGAAAAAATGGGAGCACAAGGAATGGATTAGCCAACACTCATTGGATTTAATTAGGATAAGAAGACAGCTGAAGGCAGAAGCAAATGCAAGTAGAACAAGAGGATCAAGAGCGGATGCATTGGAGAAGAACAGGGCAACAGCTAAAGATGTCAAGTAATCACTAAGAAAAGACAAGGAGGAATTCATGAACAGGCTAGCAGAGAAGGCAGAGGAAGCAGCGGTAGGAGGACACATGCAAATCCTATACCAGACTACAAGGACACTTTCTGGAAAATACAGGAAACCTGAAGTACCAGTAAAGGACCAAGAGGGGAAAACCATTTTTGGAAAGGAAGCTCAGTCCAAACAATGGGTAGAGCATTTCAACAGTCTTCTGAACAGACCACCACCGAGTAACCCACCAAACATCCTGTCAGCAAGAAATGAGTTACCAATCTGCGGTCATGCTCCTTCAAAACAAGAGATTCTGGATGCCATTAAGAAGCCGAACAAAGGTAAAGCGGCCAGTCCTGACCAGATTCCACCTGAAGCACTAAAAGCAGATGCCAATGTGGCGGCAGACATCCTCCTCCCACTGTTAACCAGGATCTGGAATGAGAGCAAGTTCCCAAAGGATTGGAAAGAAGGACACCTCGTGAAGCTTCCAAAAAAGGGGGATCTCAGCAACTGCAGCAACTACAGAGGGATCACTCTTCTCTCAATACCAGGTAAGGTCTTCAACAGAATCATTCTGGA